CACTTGGCTCCAAGAGACTTTTTTGTAGGTCCTGAGACACCACATTAGTGTACCAAATTTCGTAATCCTCAGTCAAAGCATGGCTTGGGGCTGACAGTTTTAATGGTCCTAGGGGGCGCTAATACAGAAAAAAGGCCACGCCCACAAACTTAAGCTGACCTTTTCTATTGGGGGTCAGACTAGGATCACTCACAACAATGGTCGAGGTGATATCACGATAAATGAAGAAATGAGAGGCAAACGTATTTCCATGGCGTGATGGCGAATTTCGCCATGCTCCCAAAGCCCCGCCTTTTTGCAAAACCTTCCAGTACTGGAGACCAAGTGACCTCAACTTGCCTGCTGCTATTTACCAGAGATTCCTGGTGATTGGGTAAAAGGAGTCCAATAAGGAGCTGTGAAAAAAAGAGTGGCGTGGCGAAAGGTCAAAGTTTGAGGCTTAGCCACGCCCACACCTTTATACTTATTTAAAATCCGACGGTTGAATTTTTTCCTCTATGTCTTAAGACTATATAGCAGAAGTTTGAAAGTGATTGGTGAAAAGGGCGACGGAGTATCACTCTCCAAACAACGTGTGTGAAAACCACTAAATCGCGCACTTGGACCAAAATGGCCGACTTCCTGTGCGACTTTGCACTTGGCTTCAAGAGACTTTTTTGTAGGTCCTGAGACACCACATTAGTGTACCAAATTTCGTAATCCTCAGTCAAAGCATGGCTTGGGGCTGACAGTTTTAATGGTCCTAGGGGGCGCTATTTCAGAAAATAGGCCACGCCCACCAGATGTTCACATCAGATCTTTTGGGGGGCCGGACTAGGATCACTCACAAGAAGTTTCGTGACGATATCTTTGGAAATGACGAAATGGGAGGCAAACGTAAGGCCAAGGCGGTACGCCTGAATTCGCCGCGCCGCCACAGCCCCGCCCTCTGCCGAAAACTCCCATAAAGTGACGCCAAGCAACCCCCACTTGTCTTGAGTTACCAGCTCCAAATTTGTGGTGATTAAGTGAAATGGGGCAATTTGGGACCTTTCACAGTAAAACTTGATCTTTTTGGTCCTGAGGGGGCGGGGCTTGTGTGATGTCATCATCCGACCTTTCAATTTACTTTGTGGGTGGATGACGAATGACCACAGAAAGTTTGGTAACTCTATTCCATTCAGTTATGAAGTTATAGCAATTTAAATATTTTTGGCGAGTAGTCAAACTTCGAGGCCTGGCTCCGCCCCTTCAACATATACGAAAACTCAGAATCCTTATCTCATTTTGTTCGCCCATCCCTTCTGAGCAATTTTACACAATTTTTGAGACGATCGTGCGAAAAATGATCGAGCAATCCAATCAGAAACGGACCCTAAAAACGGCAAAAACGGCAAAAAATCGCCATTTCAACCCAAAATGGCCGACTTCCTGTTTGATATTGACCATGGTTGCAAGAGACTTTTCTGTGCGGACTGTTGAGTACTACAAGTGTACCAAATTTCATAACTGTACGATAAACTAAGCTTTATGGAGAGGGGTTTTTTTCACTTTGTAGGGGGCGCTGTTCAGCCATTTTCTTTGCGATTTTTTTGGGACCTTTAAAATATCAAATTTTTCACCAGGCCTGACAAGTGTGCAAAATATTGTGAGTTTTGGGGTATGTTAAGGTCCCCAAAAAGCTGTTCAAAGGGGGCACGGAATAACAAAAAATAATAATAATCAGAGCAAAAACAAGAGGCCTTCGCAGCGCTTTCGCTGCTCGGGCCTAATTAAAGCTGCAAGCAGCGTCGTTCGGCCCTCGCAGCTCCGCGCCGCTCCGGTCTGCCGTCGCACCAGTGCACGTCTGACAGAACAGAAACGTCAACCACCCCGACACCAGAAACCGCGAATGGCCTCCTAGTCTGCACCTCACCCTGACTCAGCATCCCCTCTGAGCTCACCATTAAATTGAATATTAAGATTACGGCGTTACGCCAGAATTCGCCATGGCATCAAAGCCCCTCCCTTTCTGGAAAGCTATCAGATCTGAATGGTCATTACAGCATCATGAAGACAGTGCATGACCTTAGGGTCATGTTGACTAAATTAGAGGGGACAAATATGGGCATTTCAGCATAAAAAATAAATTCCTGTAGTCAGGGGGCGGGGCTTAGGTGATGTCAGCTGTCCACATTGTCATTGTTTACAGATATGGTCAATGATCACACAGACAAAGTTCGAAAAAGATCTGATCATGCACATGGGAGTTATTAAGTCAAGTAAAGTAATGGCGAAAGGTCAACGTTTGAGGCTTAGCCACGCCCACACCTTTCAACTTTTGAAAAATCCGACGGTTGAATTTTTTCCCCTATGTCTTAAGAGTGTATTGCAGAAGTTTGAAGGTGATTGGTGAAAAGGGCGACGGAGCATCACTCTCCAAACAATGTGTGCGAAAACCACTAAATCACGTACTTGCACCAAAATGGCCGACTTCCTGTGCGACTTTACGCTTGGCTCCAAGAGACTTTTTTGTAGGTCCTGAGACCCCACATTAGTGTACCAAATTTCGTAATCCTCAGTCAAAGCATGGCTTGGGGCTGAAAGTTTTAATGGCTCTAGGGGGCGCTATTTAAGAATATAGGCCACGCCCACAAACTTCAGCTGTCTATTTCTCTTGGAGCTCAGACTAGGATCACTCACCAGAAGTTTTGTAGCAATATCACGATAACTGAAGAAATGAGACAAACGTATTTCCATGGCGTGATGGCGATTTTCGCCATGGTCCCAAAGCCCCGCCTTTTTTCAAAACCTGCCAGTACTGGAGACCAAGTAACCTCAACTTGTCTACTGCTGTTTGCCACAGAATCCTGGTGATTGGGTAAAAGGAGTCCAGTAGGGAGCTGTGAAAAAAAGAGTAGCGTGGCGACAGGTCAAAGTTTGAGGCTTAGCCACGCCCACACCTTTCAACTTTTGAAAAATCCGACGGTTAAATTTTTTCCCCTATGTCTTAAGGGTATATAGCAGAAGTTTGAAGGAGATTGGTGAAAAGGGCGACGGAGCATCACTCTCCAAACAACGTGTGCGAAAACCACTAAATCGCGTACTTGATCCAAAATGGCCGACTTCCTGTGCGACTTTGAACTTGACTCCAAGAGACTTTTTTGTAGGTCCTGAGACACCACATTAGTGTACCAAATTTCGTAATCCTCAGTCAAAGCATGGCTTGGGGCTAATAGTTTAAATGGTCCTAGGGGGCGCTATTTCAAAACATAGGCCACGCCCACAAAATTCAGCTGTCTATTTCTCTTGGAGCTCAGACTAGGATCACTCACCAGAAGTTTCGTAGCAATATCACGATAACTGAAGAAATGAGAGACAAACGTATTTCCATGGCGTGATGGCGATTTTCGCCATGGTCCCAAAGCCCCGCCTTTTTTCAAAACCTGCCAGTACTGGAGACCAAGTAACCTCAACTTGTCTACTGCTGTTTGCCACAGAATCCTGGTGATTGGGTAAAAGGAGTCCAGTAGGGAGCTGTGAAAAAAAGAGTAGCGTGGCGACAGGTCAAAGTTTGAGGCTTAGCCACGCCCACACCTTTCAACTTTTGAAAAATCCGACGGTTGAATTTTTTCCCCTATGTCTTAAGGGTATATAGCAGAAGTTTGAAGGAGATTGGTGAAAAGGGCGACGGAGCATCACTCTCCAAACAACGTGTGCGAAAACCACTAAATCGCGTACTTGATCCAAAATGGCCGACTTCCTGTGCGACTTTGAACTTGACTCCAAGAGACTTTTTTGTAGGTCCTGAGACACCACATTAGTGTACCAAATTTCGTAATCCTCAGTCAAAGCATGGCTTGGGGCTAATAGTTTTAATGGTCCTAGGGGGCGCTATTTCAGAAAATAGGCCACGCCCACCAGATGTTCACATCAGATCTTTTGGGGGGCCGGACTAGGATCACTCACAAGAAGTTTCGTGACGATATCTTTGGAAATGACGAAATGGGAGGCAAACGTAAGGCCAAGGCGGTACGCCTGAATTCGCCGCGCCACCACAGCCCCGCCCTCTGCCGAAAACTCCCATAAAGTGACGCCAAGCAACCCCCACTTGTCTTGAGTTACCAGCTACAAATTTGTGGTGATTAAGTGAAATGGGGCAATTTGGGACCTTTCACAGTAAAACTTGATCTTTTTGGTCCTGAGGGGGCGGGGCTTGTGTGATGTCATCATCCGACCTTTCAATTTACTTTGTGGGTGGATGACGAATGACCACAGAAAGTTTGGTAACTCTATTCCATTCAGTTATGAAGTTATAGCAATTTAAATATTTTTGGCGAGTAGTCAAACTTCGAGGCCTGGCTCCGCCCCTTCAACATATACGAAAACTCAGAATCCTTATCTCATTTTGTTCGCCCATCCCTTCTGAGCAATTTTACACAATTTTTGAGACGATCGTGCGAAAAATGATCGAGCAATCCAATCAGAAACGGACCCTAAAAACGGCAAAAACGGCAAAAAATCGCCATTTCAACCCAAAATGGCCGACTTCCTGTTTGATATTGACCATGGTTGCAAGAGACTTTTCTGTGCGGACTGTTGAGTACTACAAGTGTACCAAATTTCATAACTGTACGATAAACTAAGCTTTATGGAGAGGGGTTTTTTTCACTTTGTAGGGGGCGCTGTTCAGCCATTTTCTTTGCGATTTTTTTGGGACCTTTAAAATATCAAATTTTTCACCAGGCCTGACAAGTGTGCAAAATATTGTGAGTTTTGGGGTATGTTAAGGTCCCCAAAAAGCTGTTCAAAGGGGGCACGGAATAACAAAAAATAATAATAATCAGAGCAAAAACAAGAGGCCTTCGCAGCGCTTTCGCTGCTCGGGCCTAATAATAATCAGAGCAAAAACAAGAGGCCTTCGCAGCGCTTTCGCTGCTCGGGCCTAATAATAATCAGAGCAAAAACAAGAGGCCTTCGCAGCGCTTTCGCTGCTCGGGCCTAATCATGCCTTGGACATACTAAATCAGGAATGACTCAAACACACACACACACACACACACACACACACACACACACACACACACACACACACACACACACACACACACACACACACACACACACACACACACACACACACACACACACAATTAGGAATAAAGAACCACGATTTGAATTGAGTTTGCACACAAAAAGTATATTTGAACATTTTTACAGAGCCCCCTAGTGGTGCTTGTGTAATACTGCATTAACTGTACTCCTAGTTTTTTTTTAAATTAAATCTATGACATTATAAGACAACTGATTTGAGACTACGGGTCATAATTGAGCCATCACTGCCTGCTGGCTGTCCTGGCTCAGAGCAATAGGGGGGGTTGACAGTATAGGAGGATCTTTGTTGACATCTTTATTATCTTCGTGCATATGGCCGAGTGGCTGCATGGGAAAAAACACCCTGTTATCAATACGCAACATACACTTTGAAGAACTTTAGCAGGCAAAATCCCCAATATATTAACATTTTACAGTTTAAAGTTATTAAAAGCTCATAAGAGCTCTAAGATTACGGAAAACATTGATCTGATTCAGCAGAGTTTTGTCCACAAATCCGGTTGCAAGACATTTATTCCTATTAAACAGAAACCCTGACCCTTTCAAGAAAATTTGGGCCGACCTCTTTTAAAAACAGAAAGCTGTGGTTGTGCTAATAGCAGGAGCTCCTGTGAGCTGAGCAAAGTCACAGCATTAAAGCTCCATTCCTGAACTTTGCGGATATATGCTCTCTGTCGCCCTCGAGGTTTGCTGCGTAACATCACTGTTGTAAAATCAAATCTCTCTGTCACACATAAGAGGCGTGTTTACTGGCTTTTTTCCAACTCGTGTGCCCAAACCAAACACATTAAGCGGCGTTTCTGCATTGAATAAAGTTTTATCAGGACTATTTAAGAACTTAATGCCCGACCAAACACAATAACCCTGGTGAAATCATTTATTACTTTCTATTAGCAGCACGGCTAGGTCTTTCGAGAAGAGCTCTCCAGCGAGGAAAAGCCAGCCCAATATTAACTCTGATTTTTGCTCTTGCTCTATCGCATTCTCTTTGACTTTTCCTAGATTCCTCTGATGAGGGATTTCTAGCTTTCTTTGGTGGATCTGCCATAGCTCAAGTCTCTAAACCACGGGTCTACCACAGACATATATACGTAGATGCCCGGTGGACTAGTGCTGCCGTAGTTGCTAGCCGCCATTTTAGATGAGTCTCCATTCGCCCCCAGTGCATTCACTTCAATTAAGGAATGTCCTACCCAACTAAAAAACACATTTTATCAAGCGTTTTCACAAAATCAGACACAAGTTGCTCACTGTGCATTTACTTTGGACTCTTCTTGGACTCTTCTCTCTGCTTTGGAGTGAGACCCATCCGTAAAGCAATATGCAGTCAGTACTTCCGGCGGCAGACCGCGGGTCAAAAACTGTGTAGTGCAGTAAACAGACGAGGGATCCCATAATACTATCACAGCTCAGAAAATGAACATAATAGATGATAGTATACCACCAAAAAAAAAACATTATTAAAGGTGTGAAAGTTGTGGAATGGGGCTTTAAGTGGGAGCCAACCATCACCTCCATCATAAAAAAGGCCCAGCTGAGGATGTACTTCCTGAGGCAGCTGAAGAAATTCAACCCATCAGTACAGTTGATGAGGCAGTTCTACACTGCAATCATTGAGTCCATCCTCTCCTCTTCAATCACTGTGTGGTAGGCTGGAGCCACCATCAGGGACATGAGGAGGCTGCAGCGTGTCGTGAGCTCTGCTGAGAATGTCATTGGCTGCAAACTCCCCTCCATACAGGACCTGTACATCTCCAGGACATTGAGGCATGCAGGTCGGATCACAGCAGACCCGTCTCACCCTGGACACAGTCTGTTCAACTCGCTCCAATCTGGCAGGAGGCTCCGATCCATTCGGACCAGAACCTCTTGCCACAAAAACAGCCCTCTGCAGTCGGGCTCATGAATACCAATCTTAGATTTGACCACTCCAGCTGCTTTGTTCCAGTCACATGTTTATGTTTATGTATTTCGCTGACGCTTTTGTCCAAAGCGACTTACAAGTGATGATCGGCATGTTGCCCTTGAGGCTAACAACAACAATAACAACAACAACTTGTCATAAATCATGGAGAGGAGGGAACAAGGAGTGGACAGCAGAGAGGGGGGACGGGTGCAGGGAGAGTGACCCACATGACCCTAGTGTTGCGTTGGCACATGAACTGATCCACTCTGACCAGTGCTTAGTAGCTGCTTCTCTAATTGGGGAAGCTGTAGCTCAGAAGGTAGAGTGGATAGCCTCATGATCATGGGATCAAGGGCTCTATTCCAGCTCCCGCCAGGGGTTTTCTGCTGTTGCGTCCTTGGACAAGAGACTTCAGCCGACTTGCCTTTGTTGGAGGTGGTCAGAGGGGCCGATGGCGCAAAATGGCAGCCTCGCCTCTGTCAGACTGCCCCAGGGCAGCTGTGGCTACATAGTAGCTTACCAACATCAGCAGTGTGTGAATTTGAGAGAGTGTGAATAATGGAAAGCACCTTGGGTGTCTTGAAAAGCGCTTTATACATCCAAACCATTAATTATTGTTTCCCTATATTATGATCATTCACTGTGTATTCGTCACCTGTGGGTGAGAAAATGGAAAAATCCTCACTGCAACCGCAAAGCCGGGTAAGTCTTCATTAATCAGTATCCTTATTTATTTTTTCACTTATTATTATAATGAAGACATCTGAATCAGAACGTGAAAACAACATAAATGTTTTCAAAAACAGGCTCTCACTATCATCCCTTTCGCATTTCGCGGTCTTTTAAAAAGCAAATTCCTATTAAACTTGTTATCAAGCCTAGCACTGGCCGAACAATCAACCACACAGCTAGAAGGATACATTTGCTTAGCTAAATCCTCCTTCAAACATGCAAAACAATCAAATTATAGGCAAAATACGTTGTTTCTTGCCATACAATCCAGTGATGTAACGCAAGAAACATAAACACTGACTTCTCAAAAGATCCCTCTATAGCAGCTCTTCTTTTTCCACTCTGGACATTTTGTAAACTGACACTCAATGAGTTCCTTTGGTCTGTTTTCCCCAGACAATTACTGTCACATGCATTATTTTGAACCCCTTTGTCATTTTTAAAATGTTTTATTATGGCAACAGGGCTGTAAGACCTGTTCTGAACAACTTCTTAGCCTAAATGTTCAGAGATCTATGTGGTGAGTTTAAACCAAACAAACTCACTTTTCCACTCTACACAGTTGTTATTTGTTGGGTCACAGGTCTTAAACACACATGAAGTAACAATACAAACAAAGGCTGACTGTTTATTCCCCTCATAGTTCAGATCTAATAGCTTTTGTTTTTAGTGCTGCAGTATCAGTAAATCGTTTTAACACTCGAAGCTAAACGGTTGTTAAAGCTTGTGTTAATGGCAGGAGTAAAGGGGTTAGTAATGCATCCTCCCCCTTTATCAAATCTCTGCTTTATTCTTTTCTAATTGTTTCTTCTCATTTGTGGAATTTTAATTTTAGGCAGGTGACCCGACAGCCACTGAGCTCATGTTGGTTCAACTAACGGACTTGGACTGGACAAATAAGAGATCCCAAAAGCTCTTTCTGGACACCGGTGGTCTACAGGTCCTTGTTAACCTGTTGAATTTAGATGAAGAGAATTGTCTGGTGAGTAAAATGGACCTGGATGGACTGCAGGCCTAAACAGAGCTGACCTCATGTGTGCCAGAAATCAGATCTCATTGTGGGACAATTATTCAATCAATCAATCAACTTTATTATCGGACTCAAGGTCCACATTAAAAAATAGACATATAAACTGGGGATGCACCGATACCACTTTTTTCCAAACTGATACAATACTGATGCTTTGATCTGAATATTCGCCGATACCGATTACCGATACCTATACTTCCACCACACAAAAAAATGCAATGATTTGGAATACAGATTTTATTTTCTTCTCTGCTTTCAACAGGAAAAGACTGTGATGTAGATAAAAAGTATAATATATGAATAGAAATCATCACAAAACTAAAATATTAGGTGAACAGAAATGACAAGTTACAGTGAAGCCATTTTCAAGCAACTGCGTTGGTATCGGTTCCTGGTATCGGTTAACTTTTACCGATACCGATACCAGTATCGTATCGGCATCTGCACCGATACCGGTATCGGTGCACCCCTAATATAAACAATACAAAAGATTATAAAAGACGTGCATACCAGTGTCTCTGCATGGACGACTGGTAACGCTCTGCACTAAAATGGGGATCAACCAGCATCGGCACAAGTCTGTTCTTAGAGTTCTTCAGTGGCAAGATAAACCTGGACATCAAATTCCTCATTATGGCTTGGAAGGTCCTGACATACACAATAAAAGACTTGCTCTACAGGACCGAGGCTTCCCTAGCAGAGTCCTAAATGCAGTGTTGTATGCTACTTTAAGCTTATGCAAGCTGGCTTTCCTATACTTACACCACAAAAGTGCAGTATACAATGGTGTGCAGTAGGTTCTAAAAAGGTGAGATTTTATCTTATCAGAACACATGTGGAATTTCCTGACTAAAATATTGGCTTGGGCATACAAAGCGCGACATTGCCGGTAAATGTCGTCATCGTCACAGAGCTGATCTGTGATGATGTGACCCAAATATTTAGCTTTGTCACTGACACTTATCTTCTTGTCGACCAAGTAGAAGTCTGGGAAACAAAGATCCTTATCCCCTTTGGTTCGACAAATCAGCACAACACTTTTTTGCATTAAACTGCACATCGTACTTCAGCCCATATTCAGAGCATGTGTTTAGCAGCTGCTGGAAACCAGCACTGCTTTGCGAAATGATGGCCAAGTCATCAGCATATATGAGATGGTTAATCAGATTGTTACCAATCATACATCCGGTTTTACATTTCTTGAGTTGATTTGACAAATCAACCAATGCAGAGATTGAACAGAGCAGGTGACAGTGGCCCTCCCTGACGCACCCCGTTGTTAACACCAAAGGGGGCTGATGTGGTATTGTCCCATTTAACTTGCATTGTCTGATTAGAATACCAGTATGCCAAAATCCTCACAATGTGATGTCGGCATTCAAGTCACTTACCACACAAATAGCTGCGGAATGATGCTCCTGGATAAAAGAGTTAATAAAAGCAAGTCTATTCAAGTATAAGTCTTCATTCTGGAGAAACTATAATGGTGTATAGACATTCAAGATGACAACCTCCTTATTTCCTACTTTTAAATGAACAGCTACACACCAATCAGCTCCAATCCTGACAACATTTATTACTGAATCTAACCTTTTATGCCATAAGATCGCCACACCCCCAGCTATCCGTCCTTTCACAATCCCCGAAGTTAGATCCACGGTAGAATCTCCAGCTCCATGGAAATGGTCATTAGCAGAATTCAGCTGCCCCAGGTCCTGTCTAGACAAGAATGTTTCCTGAAGGCAAAGTATTTCACATTTCTCCAGCAAGCTATCCACAACCAGATGCCGAGCTCTGTCTGCAGCAGTATTTCCAACATGAAGACCACAACAGTTGTAGGAGATAACCTGCATTAATGAGATAATGCAGTTGCTACTCCAGTGGACTCCGCTGCAGCCTGTTTCACTGTGATGTCGGCAGGCCCTATAATTTTCCTAGGCTCGTAGTATCGCTGCACCAGCGATCCTTCCGGCCACAGCTCCGGGTTGTACACCTCGGAAACATCCTCGCATTCCACACTGATTTTAAAAGCTAAATCTGGTGTTCCCAGTGACGTTCACAGCGAACTTCACGGCCAAGTTTCTCTTTAAGATAATTACTAAGTGTGTCAGCATCAAGATCAGGAAGGAATTTGGTGGCAAAGACATGAACAAGCTTACTCCGAACTGCTCACATTTTACTTTGCACACCAGTGCCATAGATTGGCTCTGGTCTCTTGCGCGCAGCTTTATTGTTGCGCTGCTTTAAACGTGCCGCATTGCTCTCATCTCTTATTCCAACCTTTTTTAACCACCTCACTCCATTTAGGAGAAGTAAGAGGAGCGACAGTAACTTCTGCGTTATTATTCTCGGCAGCAGACCCAACGCCCCCGGGCAGCCGTCTTGTTTCGCTGTGTAGATGAGCAGTTCCAAGCTCTCAACCTGGAAACTTGCCAACTCTCCGGAGGTTTTTCCAATTGCAGCTACGTCAGCTGTGTGCGCACCAGCGCTGGGGATTCCCCCTGCTGATGCTGACGTGTCCACGCTTAGCTGTCCCCCTCCATGGGGCAAAAATATGTTGTTCCATCACAGCAACTCTGCGATCAGTGGTGGAAATGACAGCACGCAGATCCTCACCGACATCAGCTTGGAGTTTATCTGCCTGTCCAAGAGCGCAGATCTCGCTGTGCAGCCGTTCCATCCTGCACAGAAGATGTCCAAGCTGTTGAATGTCACCGGCGGCACCTCATCCAGGAAGTGGGAGACAAAAAGTGGCATGTCCTCACCACTCTCATTCAAGACTTTCAAACAGCTTTTGATGTTATTTACATCTTTTTGGTTACCCTTAAAGGCCACATAGCATTGCTTTATGTTAGGACACAGTTTAAACAGCACCTTCCTTGAAGACTCAATCCACTGGGAGTTGAAGTGGTTTGAAGCAAGAACAACAAGCTCATCTTGGTGTGGCAAGATGGAGAAACGAGGGCCAGGGCGGGATTCGATCCCCAGACTCCCGGGTGAGAGTCATGCACGCTTACCAGTCAGCCAAAGGGACATCCCCTTGTCCAAGTAGCATGATCAATCGGGACACTGACAGGACGCTCAAACTGCCGCGTCTTCCCCTCTCTTTTCACAAGCACGTCCTCGTGCTCCCGCGCAAGGTGCCACAAACTTCACATCCATGGACATACTCTACAGTACTACATCGATCCTGCCAACAACGCCAAATGTGGCAAGGTGGAGAAACGAGGGCCCGGGCGGGATTCGATCCCCAGGCTCGCGGGTGAGAGTCATGCGCACTTACCAGTCAGCCAAAGGGACATCCCTTTGGCCAAGTAGCCAGGGTGCATGATCAATCGGGACACTGACAGGATGCTCACTCTGCCTCACTGGCACATTGTCTTTTCCTTGATAGATAAGAAATTGAGAAGCTCATCCTGCACAATGAGCTTGCTGTCGACAGTCTTATAAATTTGCTGTTTCATGCGAGGCTGATTAGAACTCAGAGCAGATGCCCCTTGCTCCACACCTTGCTCGGCCATCTTATTATGTGTCATTCTCAAATAATTTAGACATGCAAGTAAAACTAACTGCAAATATAGTAAAAGGTCATAAAGATTTAAAGAAAGTTGTGCAATTGATGTTGTTTTATATAGAAGGCACTGATAGAATATTCTAGAATTTCACAACTAGTTATGTACAGTGGATCATTCATCCCTTACATAAGTGTCTTCCTGGTGGACAGAGAGGTCCTCTCTCTGTGACATGGTCAGGAGGGGGTGGGATGGATTATCAATGATGGACAACAGTTTGTTCGCTGACTTTCTGTCTGTCTGTCTGTCTGTCTCAGAGTCAAACACATCTAGCTTCTTGTCCGGTGATTTATCTGGTACTTACCCCCCAGCAGATCACAGCCCAGTAAAGAGCACCTGCATCAACAGACTAATTAACCCTCCCACTGTCCTAATGGGTGACCCCATGAGGAAAGTTGACCATTAAGCAGGGTTGATGGTTTATCCCTTGGGTCCATGAGGCAGGGGTGAGGAGTGAGCACCACCTCACCCCTGCCACGTGAACCTCAAGGGATAAACCATCAATCCTGCTCAAAGGTCCTTTCCTTATGGGGTCACCCATTAGGACAGTGGGAGGGTTAAAGATCTAAAGCATTTTACTGTACACATTAAACGTGTGAAACACTTAAAAAAACATTTTTAATGATGATTTCTGATTATAATCAGTCCCTCAGAGTTTTTCACACAGGCTGCACAAGAAAATATTCTCGACGGCGAAACTCTAGGATTTGAAAAGGCTGACAGACCTAAGTTTCACTGTCATTTAGCATTCATGGACTCGTCCATCTTGACTCTCAACAGGGTAGGCTGTTGTGTCCAGGAAAGAGTAGAGAATGTCTCAACAGAAGCTATCCATTAGCATTATCAACTCCACCACACGGCAGAAGCTCCTCCAGACTTGTGTTATTTGTGGAGATCAAACATCAGTGATGCAGAGCAAACGGAGCCAGGAGAGTCACGTTGTTTTTAGCCAATCAGAGGCGAGATGTCCAAATATTTCATGAAATAAATGGCCTGTAATTGATATAGCCCCTTCTAGAGTCCTAGAACCCCCCAAGGTGCACACAATTAGTCATTCACCCATTCACGCACACATTCACCTTGGTGGTGATGAGCTACATTGTGGCCACAGCTGCCCTGAGGCGCACTGACAGAGGCGAGTCTGCCGTACACAGGTGCCATCAGTCCCTCCGACCACCACCAGCAGGCAAGGTGGGTTAATAAGACTCCAGTTCCTGCCACTCTCTCCTCATGGCTTCTGACTTCTCCATGCTGAAACAGGAGCTTCTGGGCTTTTTTCCCCCCAGAGTATGACTTACAAGGCATGGATTCCACTAGAGACCACTGCAAATTTATTGATTAAACAAGTCTTCCACACCTTTAAAGGATCTGAGTTCTCTAAAGTAAAAGTCTACTCATCCTCTACCAGTCTGCCAGTAGAGCCTGTTTTATGGGGACATGTGTGTGTGTGTGTGTGTGTGTGTGTGTGTGTGTGTGGCTGTAACCCATCCTGGGTGATGATCAGAGACACATGGTTCTAATCATTCATGAGTGCTTTGTGACCCACGTGCTAGCTGTTTTGTCTACTTTCTGTGGAAATATGATTGATCTTTTGGCTTCCAGATACTTCTCTTTCACCACAGATGGAGGCCTTTTTTTTCCACACATAAACAACAGCTTCTTTAATGTAAAACCACCATGCAATTCTTATGTATTTATGTTTTGTTCCTTAAATGCTTTATGATTAGATCGGGTCTCTGAGACTGCTGGGAAAGCTCTGTCACAGCATCCATATGTGCCAGGCCATCGTGGACCTGGGCGGCCTTCGTTACATGGTGGAGAATCTTGACTCAGGAGTGCATCTGATCCAAGTTCTAGCTGCTGAGACTATCAGTAAGGTGTTGCAGTTCAACAGGGCCAGAGAAATGTTCTGGAAATATGGTGGCATTGACAAACTGGTGAGTATACACTACACAGTGGAGTTATATAATGTACAACATTCATAGCAGACACATTTCCAAACAATATCTCAGATTGAGGAGAACCACATTTTCAGTTAATTCTGTCCATGCACGACTGACTGGTGTTACAGTGAGTTTTGTTCTAAGCTGTAGTCGTTCAAAAATGTTTACGTTTCGATGTAGAAAAAAAATCACATGATATGGTTTTCGTAAAGAAGTGAGTCTTCAAGTATTTCATAATGCTGTGGTTGTAGTTTCCTTCTGAACACAGCTGTGAAAGTGACCTCTCATGTAACACTAGTACCATTAGGGTGGACCCTAACCCACATGAGAAAACTTTATCATCTTATGCAACTTTACTGGGATAGAAGTGACAGGGGTTTTAGTCACATCACAGCCTATTTCAGTCGTGGCATTAATAATAAAAAATAAACACAATGATTTCTTTCTTACAGTATATTATTGGTATATTGATGGTGTGCCCACAAGTCAGTGTACTTCGGGATCTTGTGTACAGTTGTGTAGTGGCCGTCTCGAAGTATTGGTCTGTCACCACCTTCCTCACCCATGGTGTCCCACAAGGTTCTGTGCTGGGGCATCTACTTTTCCTCCTCTATCTGCTTCCTCTTCAGAACACCCTGAGCTCATTTAAAGGAATCTCCTACCATCTTTATGCAGATGACATCCAACTGTACATCTCCCTTGAGCTCCATGAGATGTCATGGTGGTTCAGAATGACTGTGCTTGGCTTCTGATCAAATCGTCAAAGTACACCCACATCACCCCGCTTCTCCTCCAGCTTTACTGGCTGCCAGTTAACTTCAGGGATCATTTCAAGACCCTGGTTCTGGTCTTTAGGTTCCTGAGATTTTAGTGTTCCTATTTATTTTCTTTTTCCCTTTCCTTTCATTTTATAATCAAAAATGTAATTTTTTTGTCATTAAAAAAATGTTCTATTATATTTTAAAGTGACATGCTATCCAAAGAAAATGCTAAACTAATTCTGAACTTAACAAAAAAGCTGGGATATGATTACTCCAGCAGTCCTGAGTTTTTTCTGGACGCTTTGACGTCAGCAGCTCAGCAGAGCTGTGTCTGTGCCACAAGCGGGTGTTGTCACCATCACATTCTGTGACTCTAGCAGGGAGCCTGAAGAAGAGGGTCAGACCTTTTTTTTCAAAATGCAGCTTGCTTGAGTGACATTTTCCAAGAACAAACAGACACCTTTAATACACTTCTGTTCATCAGTTATGTGTGTAACATCATAATCCATTACTTTGTTCTTTTTTGTTACACAACTTAGTCAAAAAATAGTTTTTTACCTTACATGTTTTGGCTAGTACTCTAGCCATCATCAGAGTTCACCGGCGTTGTTGCTGCTGTCCCTGAGGCTGTTTGGAAGTGACGTCACCAACACTGGCAAACTCTGATGATGGCTAGAGTACTAGCCAAAACATGTAAGGTAAAAAACCATTTTTTACTAAGTTGTGTACAAAAAAGAACAAAGTAATGGAGTACACCTTTAAGTCTTACGTTTTTTGTTAGGTATTCAAGGTAGGCATTCAAATTGCTCAAATATGACTTGTTCTAAGTTTAGGACGTAAAATGCTGCTGTTGTCACACAAATTCATTATTATTGTTTCTAACCAGGCTTTATGTTTGTGGACAGTGTGGCCTTTGATCAGACATTCATGGTTTTATTTATCTTGGCTTCAAATCTGATGATTACTCATAGAGGAACATTCATGACCACTTCGGCTTTCTCTATCTCAGTGATCACAAATGATGGATTGGGAATCTGATAAACCGTCACACTAAACTTTTCAGGTCCAACACCAAGACTTCCTGCATGTCTGTTGTTTTAATCCTCCCACACCTGATGGTAATAGAACCGCAATTCCCTCCAATTGTGTCCAACAGCTTCCTGTTCCCATCTAGAACTGTCTTAAACCAAGGTTTCCTCCTTAAACACTGTCCACAGTTTCTCCCTGAACATTATTTTAAGTTTCTTTCCACTCACACATCTCTTTGATCAGGTGAAGCTGCTGAAATGCTTCTGCAGTACAGAAGAAAACCCAATGAAGGACGTGGAGTTGGACCACAACGTTATTGCACTGCTGTGGAATTTGAGCAAGAGCCTCAAGACCAAGAAGGCTATTTGTGAAGCAGGTATCATCCCTCTGCTTGGACACCTGGTCAGGTCTCCACATGAGAACATACGAATTGCCGTTATGAAACTCCTGCAGGAATTTGCCTCAGAGGTGAGAGTAGTGACACACGTCCCTTTCTGTGCCATAAAACCTGTTTGGTGAAACTGTTTTTAAAACAAAAATTAAACTATTGCAATCGAAGATACAGCCATTTTTACCATGTAAATCTGTGCAGTAGGTAATGTAAGGTGTGATCTTTTGCTTCAACAGGAAATCTGCAAGTCTGCCATCCAGACCAAAGATTTGATGAGGAATATTATCAAAAACCTGCAGACCAACAATGAAGAGCTACAACTTTGTTGTGCCACTTCAATCTTTAAGGTACTTTAAGGTGCTCTGATCCATGCCAAATTTATTTCAGAGTTGATGAAACATTGTCTTCTTTCCTTGGTAGTTTGTAGATAACAAGGAAACCTGTGACCTGGTGCGCAAGATCCAAGGCCTGCAGGCACTGGTTTCCCTGCTCGGTAAAGCAGAGAACAAGAAGCTCCTGACTGCCGTCACTGGAGCTATTTGGAAGTGCTCAGCCAGCACAAAGAACGTGGCTTTGTAAGCACCAGTCCCCACACGCACTTTAACTAGCAAAGCAAAGACATTAACTGGGATAGCTGACATTCATTTATTAAGGTGTGTTTTAAGTTAAATATGTCTAATAGTGCTGTAGATATTTGTAGTCATTATTATGTCATTTTAGTGCATATTATTTTATTATTTATTAAATTGCGCCCTCTTCAAAACCCTGCACTACACTGAATTTGAACCAACCGTAGCTAATGGCTAAGAGATACCCAGTGATGTTGCTGGTACTGCATGACGTGGCTGCGCTCAATTGGACTACAGCCGAGTCCTGGCCACACCTCCAGTTAGCTCAGCCACTCACAAGCCGATACCAAACAATACAGCTCAGAGCTGCTTGCCTCCTTCAAGGCCTTTGTATTCATTTATTTGTATATATCGTTTCCCATTCCCTACAAAGCTTTTTGACCAATCCCCAACGATTCCCCTAAACCCGTACCTTTCCATTTTTTTAATAGAATTTCATGATTAACAGTATTGAACGCCTTTTTTAGGTCTAAAAAAACTCAGAGTGCATACCTCTTATTATCCATACAGTCCGTTATCTTTTCCATTAAATCTATCAATGCCAAAGCTGTTGATCTGTTGCTTCTGAACCCAAATTGGCTATCTGTCAGTAATTCATATTTTTCCACAAAACTGTCATATCTTTTTATGAACGGTCTTTCCAGTATCTTAGAGAACTGGGAGAGTATCGACACTGGTCTATTTTGTAAAATGATGCCTTTCACCGGTTTTGTAAATGGCAATAACTTCAGCAACTTTCATGTCTTGTGGAAAAACCCCTTTTTGATATGACAAATTGAATATATATGTTAATGGTTTTACAATACCATCAACGACTGTTTTTACTGTTACCATATCAATATCATTCCAATCTGTGCTGGTTTTGTTCTTAAGTCCTCTAACTATGTCATAGATCTCTTTCTCTTCCACTGCTCTCAAAAACATTGAGCTTCTATTTCTTTCAATATTTTCACCAGTGTCCCTTTCTATTCCATCAACCTTTATTTCTTCTGCCAGTTTTGGTCCTGTGTTTACAAAGAATTCATTAAAACCATTTACTATCTCCTTCCTATTATTAATGCTTCTTGTCCCTTCCATAAAGTACCCAGGGTAATCCTTGATTCATTTTTGATTATGCTGTTTAATACCTTCCATATATCTCTTGTATTATCTTTATTATGTTGTAACCTTTTAATGACATACTCTCTTTTACATGATCTCATTATATTTGTTATTTTATTTTTGTAATCTTTATACTTCCTTTCAGTTTCTATTGTTCTCTTTTGTTATGAATTCTCGATATAGGGTATTCTTTTTTTTGCTGGCATTTTGTAGTCCTTTAGTCATCCATGGTCTTCCTGCATAGTTGTGTTTCCTGTTGCATTTCAATTACTGGGCAGTTTTTATCAAGTAATGTGTTAAATGTTCTTAAAAATACTTCATACGCTTCGTTAACTTCTGTTTGTTCATATACCATATTCCAATCTTGTTTTAAGAGCTCATTTCCAAGACAGTTTAATGTCCTCTCTGTTCTTATTCTTTTGTACATAATCTTGTGCCCATCGTTGTTCACTTTATGGTGGCAATTATAAGACGCAAAGACTGGTAAATGGTCAGTTATATCGTTGATTAACAGCCCACTTTTTATATTTTCTTCTATTATATTTGTAAATATATTATCTATTAGAGTTGCACAGTGAGATGTTATTCTGGTCGGTCTTGTTATCAGTGGGAATAAACCCATGCTGTACACGGAATCCATCAATTCTTCTGTACTCTTATTATGATTTGGATTCAATCATGATACAATGTTACAGATGAGACAGGCTGATCACATTCTTCTGTTTTTACCTGTAGGAGTTATTGTGAGCGTCTCAGATTAGACTGAATCCGCTTCGCCTTATAAACTACAGGATTTGGTTTGGAGGAATTTTTTTGTCCTTTAGCCCAAAATTGAGAAAAAAATTCTGTTTAACTCTTTTCTTCTCTTAACTTTCATTCTCACCTTCTCAGTGGCCTAGTGGTAGTGTCCGCTCTAGGACTGGGAGATCGGAGTTCAAATCCTGGTTGTGCCACACCATAGACCTTAACAGCTTTAAGGGGTTGGATTTGGAGGTTTGAACCACCAAATAGTTCCTGAGTGCGGGCCACAGCTGCAGCTCACCACTCCCCATGGGGATGGATCAAATGTGGAAATTAATTTCCCCAGAGTTTGATGAATTAATGGGACTTGACTTTGTCTCCATTTTTGGTCATTTTATGTAATGAATTAATAAAACAGGTTTATTTGATTATAGTTCTTTTCCCAAAGCTTTCAGAAGTGCAACACTCTGGAGACTCTGGTGGCTCTTCTGAATGCTCCTCAGTCAGACTACGTCCTGTTTCATATCACCAAAGCTCTGATAGAATTTGTTCAAACACCAGAGAATCGGGCCGCTGTCCTCCAACCTGAGATCTTAAAGCTGATAATGGATCTGCCCCTGGAAAGTTATGAGGTATTTAAAAAGTCCTCCTAAAATGAAATCCTCTGTATAATACTGTGTAGACGACACATGTGTGCACTTTTTAGGTTGACTGGGCGCTGTCTGCGAACGTTGCCAAGCTGTTGGGAGCCTGTGCCATAGATGAGGAGAGCGTGGCGTAAGTTCATGTTTCTGTTCACTCTAGTTTTTAGAGCATTATACAGAAGACCTGTGTGGACCGACATGTTAATAGTGTCTTATTAAAGGTGAACTGTGTAAGAACTGAGTAATAGTGATATCCTGTGGTCAGATTTGGTTACGGCAATTTCAGTTTCTCTGGTGTTGCCAGTTAAGGATAGGAAACTAAGGTTTAAACGTTATAACAATCATGAAATACTATTTGTGTTTTCACAATTATGAACTGCTTAAAAAAAACAATATACCATACCAGCGGTACTCAATAGTAGCCTAGCCTGCCAGGCTCCTCCTCTGTTTAATTCTGCACAGAGAAAGGGTCTGGGAACTCCCCTATTCAAATAACCCCACACCCCGTGAGAATTCTAACCGAGCCAATCAGCGCTGAATAGCGTACGTAAGTTTTTAATCCAGCTTTGTGCAACAAAATGATGAGATTCTCCTGAAAAATACAATAAAGTAAATAAATTAGATTGCTTTAATGAAGTTAAACTCTTGTGTTGCTTCAGGAGGAGTTGATTTAGTTTGTTTTCTGTCTCCCTTCAGAACCATGGAGCAGTTTAATGTAATCCACCGGATGTGCGTACATCTGAAATTCTCTGATGAAGACCTTCAGGCTAGTTCTGCTTGGACTCTTTCTTCATTTCTCAAGAACATAAAGGTACAGTAGTGTTTCCAATATCACGTTTCATAGTGAAGGCAGAAGCTTTCCTCACTGCGCTGTCCGGCCTGCAGCTACTGAGAGGTTAGTGGAGGCAGAGATATAATGGTGGATACTGTCTTGGTTCCATCGGATGAGCGAATTGTAGTAATGATGGGGAGAACGGTTCAGGCATCTCCTGTGGGCATGGTGTCTTTTTTCTAAACTGGTTCTGTTGGACCAGACAAAGATACCTCTCAGATCCAAAAACATAATTGTGCTGGTCTGTAGGGTTTGCCTTCCCCTAATACCGCTGTCCTCTCAGTCAGCTCCGCTATTCATTTCCACTGACCACCTGCTAATTACAAATTCTTATTGTAGGGTTCAGCGGGAAAAATAAGAAACCGTGTACGTTTCTTACTGTTGATTGCTGACTTATTGAAGTCCAGCAACAACTGCAGCAACATTGAGGTGCAGGCGAGCATTTGCTGTCTGGTCTCTGAACTCATCAAAGACGAGTACAACCTGGGAGGTCTCTCTCACCTGGGACTTGTTTCATCCCTGGCAAAGCTGACTGACACGGTGAGAACACACCACTGCAGACGGCAAATAATGTTTACTCTTGAGCTGAAAATTTGCGACAGACTTGACCCAACAGCCGAGCACATGTTTATGTTACTGCTAACTGATTCTGCTCCTTACAGAATGATGACAAGGTTCGACGCTACGTCGCCAAAGCAATCGGACTCTCCTGTCATTTTGAGCAAAATATTGCAGCCTTCGGTGAGGCTGGAGTCACCGTCCCGTTGGTGAATTTCTTAAAGGAGTCGAAGGACACTTCGGTCCATCACTATTCTGCCATGGCCCTGTCAGAGTTGTGCGGAGAGCAAGACAACATCATCGACATGCACAAGGCGGGAGCACTCAAGGTCACCCACAGTTTCATACCAGCTCTGTTTTAATCCTCATCATTCCGTTTTAGAAGGTGATGTAAACACTTCAGGTTTGGGGTTTGTTTTTGTGCTTTTGTAAAGAAATTCGCAGAGATGGAAAGAGTACTAAAATTCCCTACTTAAGTACAAGTACCAATACTTTGACAAGTTTTTACTCAAGTACAAGTAAAATTACTTCCCTAAATTTTTACTCAAGTAAAAGTAAAAAGCATGGTAAATAAAATATACTCATAGTAAAAGTTACTTAGTTACATTTTTGTCAGCATAAGAATGGCTACATCTAAGTAGTGCAAAATCACAATTCCAGCTCACAACACACTTAAGTGTCCGCGCACACACTCTCTCTCTCTCTCTCTCTCTCTCTCTCTCTCTCTCTCTCTCTCTCTCTCTCTCTCTCTCTCTCTCACACACACACACACACTGCAGCATTTTATAATAATTTGAATTACTAATTTAACTACATTGAACTGCTTTTGTAATAATTTAATCTCTTATTCTTGAGTAAAATAAAGAAACAGGCTAAATCATCACATGTCTGTGGCATCAAGAAGCAACTTCTGAATTCACACACACACATGGATAGAGCACGTTTGTTTACAACTGAATTAGCTTGATGTTTTAACTCAGAGGCTGCCTGCAGGTCTTTTGTTTTATGAGCAAAGCACTGGGAATCCGCTTGTTATGAGCACTACAGGTTATTTTGTCGCTGCCATGCGGAGTAGTTGGCAAAACATTTAAAACATGGAACCGCACCCGGCTACCGAACCGAGCAGAATACTGATGATGTAACATCGGTGCGCGAAGGTGCAGGTGAGGCCATGGGTGAGGGAGGGAGAGAGGGGTAAACAGCGAGTGCATCACAGGGACAGAAATGATGTTTCTGAGCAAAACTGTGGGAAAAGTGTGGCTGTCGTCCTCATTACACCCCCACACCCCCCATGGGTGCGACGCGGCACTCATGCAGGTGTCTCTTTCTCCTTGTTCCGATGCTGCGACGTGCAATATTTTTTATTTATGAAGCCTATAATTTTTTTTACTCAGTTATAGATATGATTGAAAATGTTGCGAAGTAATATATATATATATATATATATATATATATATATATATATACATACATATATATACTATACTTTACTCAAGTAAAAGTACAGATTGGAAAAACTACTTAAAAAGTGGAAATACACAAAAAAGCTGCTCAATTACAGTAACACGAGTAAATGAAATTCGTTACTTTCCACCTCTGGAAATTCTTATTATTTATATCCAATGACTGTAGAAAATATAGACAAACCAACAAATGAGCTGAACTGAAGCCTAGTGGTCAGGTCCATAGGCGTCATTTTAACCGGGGACGCCGGGGACATGTCCCCGGCAAAATTTGTGATTGGCAGCTGTGTCCCCCCCTCTTTCAAAAAAGCCTGCTGATGAGGATTTTTGTTTTACCAGCTCAGATCTTATACCAGGGGTCGGTAACCTGTTCCCATCAAAGAGCCATTATTACCCATTTCCCACGGTAAAGAAAACACCGCAGCAGCCGCAGCGTTGCGGGCGGGGCCTACCCTCAGACAGCAGAGCGCTGCTCACAACAGGTGACAGCAGCCGGGGGCATCGCACCCGTGGGGGATTCAACACCCACACGTTTCCAGCTGTTTTGCTCACCTCCACACCAGTCTGGTATCTTTACGTCACACTCACTCTGTTTGCCTCATCTCCTTCTTCACCTCCCTCTTCTGACAGCCGATGTCGGGTTTCCAGAGAGCAGGAGAGGGAGGGACGGAAGAGCTCGACTGAATTCATAATTTTACATCTTGACATTAGCTGTACAAAGTCTGAGTTTGATAAAGTGAAGAACAACAATTTGCAGAGGTTTATAACTGGCGCGGCGCCAGGTTTTCATTTTTGGATGGGCCATGGTAATTTTGGACAGACCTTAATAAGCAGTGACTTAAGTGAAGCAGGCAGGTCGCGCTAGAAAATTTAGTTTAAAAAGACGTCATAAATGTGTTCCCCCATCATTTTTATTTCTAAAATATGAAGTAAAAACTCACAATTTAATTTTCCTTCATTTGTCATTAATATTTAGTCTACAACCGTGCGTTAAGTGGACCAACTTCCAGTAAACGCAAAGCATCCAGTCCACCTCTCCAAATGCGTAAAATGTACATCAGCCACTAGTTAGGCGTGCCGCGCGCACCATCAGCTGATCAGCCCAGACAAGAGCAGAGCAAATAGAGAAAGAATAGAGGATGATTCTGTCTGGATGTGGATGGAGATTACATTTTACAGCAGCCTGATCATCATTTAAATACGTAAACCATCACCTGTCTTCTAGTCCACGCTATCAGCATTATTTTAATTGGTGTGTGTGTGTGTGTGTGTGTGTGTGTGTGTGTGTGTGTGTGTGTGTGTGTGTGTGTGTGTGTTTTCCACTTCAAACACTGGTCTAACCAACCAGACCAGCGTGTCCAGTAACACATTAATGTTACAATTAAACTTGTTTAACCCCAGAGCCATGTGCACTGCGCTGTACTCCTGACTGTAAATGAGGGGGAAACTATTTAATCGGATCCTTTACTTTTCAACATGGTTTAATGTAAAGTTTCATTCAGTACAAACTTTAGTTACACCAATCTAACGAGACAGAGCCTAGATTTGTATTCTGAACAGTTTAAACATGTTTGAAACGGAGACGTGCGTGACGCGTCTAAAATTTGCACCTGCTCCGCTATTATGGAAATTAAACTAACAAGATGAATAACATGAAATTATTTTAGGCACAGACAACATCCCCCACACTTTTGAAAAGCTTGCAACGCGCCTGGTCGCTCATGTACGTCTTAATTATCTTTCATTAGACGATAATCAATAAAACGATTTATGTAAAATGGATCCAGAAGTTGTAGCCCGTCTCTGCCTTCAATTTTTGGTATTTTTCACCCTGTTGATGGTTTTACTGAGCAGGTGCCACTTTTGTCCTACGTTTCTTTTTAAAACATGTTTAGACTGTTCAGAATACAAATCCAGGCTCTGTCACGTTTGATTGTTGTAATTAAACTTTGTAGGTGGGGAAGGTCAGAAAGCAGCTCAGAAGCGCCGATATGATTACGCACAAGCGTGACGCGTCAACCCGGTCTCACAGTAAGACCGGGTTGGAACTGTTCAGGTTTACGCAGACAATCTTTACATTTAGAATTAGCTTACAGATGTAAAATTAATGCAGTAAAATATAAAGCTTTTTATTTAAATATCCATTCATTATTTCACAAGCACAGAGAGCCGCATCAGATGGATGGAAGAGCCGCATGCGGTTCCAGAGCCGCTGACCCCTGTGCTAGCCTACTTTATTGTCCCCAGCAATTTTTAAACCCCACTCAAGTGTATGGTTATTGTCCCCAGCAATTCTGAAAACAAACTGACGCCCTTGGTCAGGTCCCTGCACAACTACATCACGCATCTTGTAATTCCCAGAAAAAATAAAAATGGAGCTGAGAGCAGGGCTATGCTGGGTGATATGGCCTAAAATTAATATCACGATATATTGAGGATTTCACCTCGATAATGATAAATGGACGATAACTACAGGTATGTGCAGAAACAAATGTTGTCCACTAGATGGGGCTGTCACATGTGTCGCGTTGAGTCACATTTTTACATGACTCAAGGTGGAACAGCTTCTTAAAGGGACATTAATGTTATCAACCTACACACATCTTTTCATTTTTTTTATTATAAAATTTATTGAAATGGGAAAAATTATCATGATAAAAGAGTCAGAAATTTCGATAACGATAAATTTTCGATTTATTGCCCAGCCCTAGTATGAGGGTGAGGGCAGATGATTGACACCCAACAATCTCTGAGACAATGTAGCGACAAGCTAATTGAAGCTTACATGGGTTGGCTAGAACACTTTTAAAGTGAGGCAGGGGGGGGTTTCTCAATGTCAAGGAACCTTGCATTGATGCCTTGGTCCTGCCCTGGTTGCCTAGGAGATACATCAGCAGGAACTGCCAAGTCGTGTTCAAATGTTCATATTCTACCGAGGCATCTGTTCTCTGTTTGTTAGCCCTTTAGCAAGCTGACCAAGGATATATGGGAGATGTCTTGTAGCCTGTTCTTGGTCCGAAATTTCCTAGAATACAGCACAGTGTTTACAAAAGGATGGCGGATCAGGAGCCAGCGGCTACTTCGGGGTCAAATTTCCAGTTTAAATGCAAGTCAGCTAATTGTTGCTATCAGGCTGATGTCTAAAATTATTATTATTTTTTAGATCCAAAGCATTTATCTATGGTTGGTTAGTTACGTAGTCGTTGCAGCTTCAGTGGTTAGCAGATACTAACTCAAATATTTAATTTAACCAATATATACACAATTAACAAAGTAAAAGGCGCGTTATACATTTAAATGGAAACTTAAATGTATAAAATAAAACTTTACCCCACGTGTCATGTGATGTGAGGTAAGTCTGTTCCATTCGACTGTTTTCTTTGACCAAGGAAGGACAGTGTCCTTGCAAGTCCTTGACATTGAGAACACCCAGAGGCTGAGGCCTTCCTTGGAGCCAGCAGGAGGGCAAGTCGCTAACGTCAACATTGATGGCTCATTGGACATCTGTCAATCAAATGGACATGCACCTAATTTATCCAAATTAAAAGCTATAATGGCATCTAAACAGATGAGTTACAAAAATAATTCACCCCCTCAGGGTTGTCATGACTGTAAACCTGTAGCCTGGCCTGTCAGACTCCTCCCCTGTTTAATTTTGCACAGAGAAAAAGTCTGGTAACTCACAGGCAGAGAGGCACATGAGGGGCGGGACTAGCCAGCTGAAAAATAACCAATCTGAAAAGAGACGGAAATGCCGACTGTTCCACGCGACGCTGTAGTTTTTTTAGCTGTGGTCAAAAATATGTTTTTAGAAGAAATGCTTTTAGCGCTTCTACTTGTTGTGACAATCAAGTCATTTAGAACAGAGGAAAGAGCCGCAGCGAACTCCGCCGCTGTCTTCATTGTTTATGAGAAACTGAGCATCGCTGTGTGTGACATCCACGACGCTGTCGTTTATTTATTTATTTATTTATTTATTTTTGCTGTAGTCAAAAATGGCGTCTGGCAACAGCACAAACATCTTTCTTTACAAGAAAGGCTTTTAGCGCTTCTACTTGTTGTTGTTTTAAAGATGTGTCCAAGTCATTTAGAGCAAAGGAAAGAGCCGCAGTGAACTCCGCTTCAGTCGCCATGTTTATGAGAAACTCGGCATTATGGTGTGTAACGTACGCTACTCAGCGCTGATTGGCTTGGTTAGAATTCTCACGGGGTGGGGTTATTTGAATAGGAGAGTTCCCAGACCCTTTCTCTGTGCAGCATTAAACAGAGGAGGAGTCTGGCAGGCCAGGCTAGTAAACCTGACCTATTTATCCTAAAATGTTTTTGTACCAGGCTGTAAACATGTTTATTTCTGTTGTGAAGTTGACATTTTAACATTGGAGTCATGGGGAACTTGCTCCTTTCTGGAACCAGCCCCTAGTGGATGAGGGGGTAACTGCAGTTCTTCACACTTGGCAGCCAGAGATTGCCCCTTGGTTACATCTTTAAAAAATGCTTTTGATGGGGAAAACATATGGGCCATTCCCATCTGTACAGGGTCGGTCCGGGCCGGGTAGCGTAGGTTGTTTACATATCTGGGTGGCCTGGTATTTTTCTGGGCCAACCAAGGCTCATTCTCAGCCCTCTTCACGAGGGGGTCTGCTTCAGGCCGACCAGGGCCAACACACCCACTGCTGACAGCAAATTCACACCTTCCATTAGAGCAAGTCTCTGATTGATGGGTAGAATCAGACCACATGGGCTTAAGGCAAGGATGTGTGGAATCATCCGGGCCAGGCTGGGGCCGACTGGGGCTACCCGGCCCGGGCCGACCCGGTACAGATGGGAATGGCCCATTAGAGAAATTTACTGTTTTCATAACCTTTGACTGACGGAGCAGAAACAATTTGGGCTTTGGTGAGTGTTTATTAACTGTGATGGGAATACATAAAAAAATAACTACAGCTGAATGCTCCTGCTGTCAGTAACCTCCGTCCTGTGTTCTCCCACAGCCACTCATCGAATGCATGAAGTCTGATGATGAGGACCTTCAGATGTTCGCTGCTGATTGTGCAGAAAAAATTCGGCTTCTTGTACAGAAAGCCGAAAAGATTCGCAAGGCCATGAAGTAATGTCAGTTTTTGTCCGTTTTTGTTAGCTTTTGTCAGTATTTGTTTGGACAAAGTTAATAAAATCACAGAAAGTTTCTTGTCTGTTATCATGCTTGTTAAAATTTGATTTTTACAATCACTCACTGGCTGTTTTATTTTGCCAAGACAAACACACTTATGCGTAAACCAAAAGTGTTAGCGTGATTGTTTATGCACTTTCACTTGGGATCTTAGTTTTGTTGAAATTCTGACTGAAATAATTCAAGGAAAGGGAACTTTAAGAGGGAATTAATTACACATTATTAGATTATACTAGAGCCACCAGACTAAATTATTCCAGAGATGTCCTCGGCCTCTCGCCCGATGACGGCTGGAGAGAGACACCATTGTGTCCCGACTGGGAATAAAGTGATTTACCGTAAATATTGGCCTCTAATATTGGCCTGTATTCAATTAACGACCGGGTATCATATTTTGGCCGGTGTCGGAGTCGGCGGAGGTAAATAATGTCCGGTATTTTATTGTGGCCAAGTGGAATGTGGTAACAAGCAAGTACGGGGGGCGGTTGTGTCATCCGTCTCACTTTTGATTTGCCAGTGACAGACCACGATTTGGCAGGTGCGGAGACGAAGAGGAGGCGAAAATTTGATATCAAGTTCAAAGAGAACATGCTGATTATGCTGCAGAACACTGGGGAGCAATAGGGGTTGTATGAACTAGTCGACTTCACTATAGTGACTTTTTATGCCTGTCATCGACTAGTCGCTGTCACGTGATAACGACCGGCAAGATGCAGCCCTCAGAAAAGACAGCAGCCTGCTGTCAGCAGGTGACAAGCTCCTGCGCTCGGGGGGGGGGGGGGGGGGGGCAACGCGCTGTGCCAGAGCGTCGGTACTGACACACGATCGTTCATGTCGGCTCATTTCCTTTAATGTTTTCTGTCTTTTATTTGCGCCTGATGCGTTTCGCTGCTCTGGAGTGGGGCACATCACCTTGTCTTCCGACGCACTGATCACTGATGCGGCCGCCAAACAGCGAGCACTCCGCTGTTTTTGCGGTCGGTAGATCTTTTAGAACTGCAGTTCAAAGGTAACTCATAAGGTGAATATATATGAACCCAGGTAGCAGTTTTTCTTTAGGAGTGAGAGGAGATGCAGGAAGATAATAAACAGGTAGGACAGAAAAATAGTCAAATAAAAACAAGTTATTTTTTGTACCTGGTGGTTGCAACAAACAGACACCATTGAAGGTAATCAGAAGTGAGGAACAGAAAATGAAATAATTATTTTAATGTTTAGAGCAGCAGGAACTCTGAGAGGCTGCAGGCGCATCAGTGAGTTTGCGGCCACTGCGCAGGGGGAGGGGGGAGAGGGCTGAAGCAGAAACTACCGTTGTTAAAAGAAATGTGTTTAACTTTGAAAATGTGGGCACAATTTTAATTGTCAAAAACTCCAGCGAACCATTAGTTCATTTTGCTCAAATAGAAATTGAGGCCTGCCTCTATTTCTGGTCCTCCTTCCAATAAAGGCCTGGAGCTTGATGAGCTTGAGTCAAATACAGGCCCGGGCCTGTATTAGAGGATTTACGGTATATAAAGTAAGAAAGAGAAGGAAACTGAGATAACTGACATCTTAAAGCATATTTAAAAAATAGAGTTGTTTTAATCACATTAACCATGGGTTTATTTTTATAAAAATACTCTTGTTATAAGATCTAACCCTGAATGGTTTAAAATATTGACACCAAGACTAAAACTAACATTATTAGGTCTCACTAAAGGGGTGTTCTGCATTTCCAATCATCTCCTCTTTTTCCTCCCTTTGAACTGGTAGGTGTTGACCACCTGGGCAGGGGCACGTAGACCACAATGTCAAAACCAGACATCTTTAACAAAGTTAAGGTAGAAACGTGACAGAGATTTGATGGAGAACTCCTGTTTCTTGAACTCTTGTGTCCACAAAAATAAACAATAATGAACAAGAGTCTGTTTCTAGAACTGCAGAAAGAGAAAGAATAGAAAAAAATGGGACACACGACAATACATCAGGAGCAAGCTATCACTGCGTCAACCTGATGATGAAACATAAAATCAACATTGTTTAACTGAGCAATCACACGATAATAAATCATAGTGCATTTAGTGGCAACAACAGCCTCAAGACATGTGTTGAACGTGCCCAAGCCCATACTTTTGAGAGCACCATGTGAGCACCTGTGTGTGTACACGCACTTGTTTATGTAAGGTTTCTCTATAGGAGCGTCCAATAGAGAGTGTGAGGGACCACAGATCTGCCCCCCAAAGATGTGTAGGAGACGGAGGGAGCTCCAAGTCTCAGAGATCCAGGCGCTGCCCCAGAACACAGGAACCCCAAGGAGACTGCAACCAGAAAGGCCCCCCGCCCCCCTCGAGAGGCACAGAGGATCGCCCCGGGGAGCCACAACCAGCAGCCGGCAGAATCCCGGGAGATATCAGCGGCAAGCCCACAGGCCCGCCCGCAGCCTCCCACCCCCTAGCCGGCCGAGCCCCGGACCCAGGGGCGACCACCTTAAAAGTCCATTTAACACCAGCAGAGCCTTGGCCACAGTACAGCTTCCTCACTGTGCTATTCCATAGACTTGCGAGATCACAAGATCCCTCGAGACTTCAAAGGTCAGAGTTTGTTTATGCAACCCGCCAATAAACAAAAAAGAAGGAAATCACGTTTGATTTTGCTGTTTGATGCCATATATGATGTTCCTCTTCATTGCCAGGATTAAAGCTATGAAAAAGACACAACTGCACTTCTCAAACCATACTGGTAGTAAGCAAGTTGCTGGGTCAAATGTAAGCTACTTAAATATATATATATATATATATATATATATATATATATATATATATATATATATATATATATATATATATATAAGAAATTGCATTGTTGCAGTACTTTTATTTTGAAAATTACCAGGGATTTTACACTGAAAAGTGTGTGATTTCCTAACTGTGGAAATTGATATATCCCAGAAGTGGCTCTGAAATTGGGTTTGAAACACTCCTTAGACTATAATGGATTCTATTTGCAGCAGTGATGTTCTGCTGCCGTACCGCGCTGTTGATGCTTTCAGTGTGAAACTGGGGTGATGGGAAGCACGCGTCAACCACTGATCTTCTAAGTTTCTGTAGTCTCCCTCAGAGAGCTCCAGAGGTGAAAAACACAAATCAAGTCAGGCACCAGGCAGTGTGAGTCCACGCTTTGCTCCTCCGCAGTGGTCGGAGATCTGCAGTGCCACGGCAGGGCTCTGACCGCGGGGGAGCCATTACAAAGTGACACGTCATAGACTTGGTTTATATTTTGTAGATCCAAGGTTAATGGATACATGACTGGTTAGATTTCAGCTAATGTCTGAGTTGACTTTTGAAAGCTTAAAATGTTGAGCTTGCCCTTTTAGGGAGTGTGAGACGATTCCAGATCATGTGTCCTAGACAGACCAGGGCCCCCACAACTCCTACCCACATACACACATCAAAAGTAGTTACAAACTTTGACATACAGAGTAACTCTTATAAAGAGTTTTTAATATACTATTGGGCATGTTATTTGGATTTTATGAATGGAAATTTTACAAATAGTCTTCATAACCTCACAACCTCAGCACAGACAAAATTGTGGGGACTTTTGAGGGGTCACAGACCCTAGATTGGTAACCACTGACTTAAAAGAATGTTCAATATCACTACCATATCTGCCATAGTTGTGTTTAGTTGTGTTTTTGTGTGCTGCGATATAGTGATATCATAGTACTGCAAATCTTTGCTTCTGGATAGTCAGACTTGCCTATCCCTCCAACCAAGCTTTTGTCGAGGCAGGTGTATCACTCCTCTGTCGTGCCAAGAGTAAAGACACAAATATTCAGCCCCACAGCAGAAAACCTGGGACACAGGGAATGTGTTTAAATTATTGTCACAGTTTACCAGAACCACAAGAAATCATTTGAAAATGTCCAACTTTGGAATTTGGGCACCTGCTGTCAGGGAAGACTAGAGGCTTTATCCCAGGTGTGGTTGTTGTAAGGGCCCCCAGCTTTGGATGGTGATCTGGGGGCTTTCAGGTGCTTCATCTGGGCTAATTAGGGCCACACTTTGTGCCACAGTAACACTTTGCTGAGATGGATTACTCTCCATAGAGAGCTACACAGATTTTAGCAGGGTTTATTAATCTAAATGCTGGAAACGCATTGTGCTCAATTTAAAGTGAGATCCTTGTCTCTAGTAAATTAAGACCAAATTTAAAGCTAAAAATAAAAAGTTTCATAATATAAAGTTCTAACGTGTTTTTCTCCATCTTCTTCTCTGACGCCATGCTTTCCAGTGTAACCTGAGCCTTGGGCAAATGGGAAAGGAAATGGAATTTTATTTGGGAAGCGGTAACAGAACAAGATGGCTGTTGTTGCGAGACAAGAAAAACATCGCTTTTTCACTTTAACTCGACCTTTTCATGTCGGTGAACTTTCATGAAAATATGATTTCAGCCGCTTTTGAGGTGCGCTTTCATAACTAGTTTGTTTTTGAGACGGAAAGTTTTCTGACGGTTCTGGGCGAGAGCAGTTTATCTTTGAAACGTAATGCCCGAAAAGCTTCAGACGCTGCAAACTTATATTGTTTCTTTTAGAGCGTTGAAAGTTATTTTTTCGTGAAGTACTAAACTAGTAGGAGGACCATGAGTTCACCCCGAGTCAGACCCCAGCAGCCACCGCAGAGCCTGAGGTCTCCGCACAAACTCGACCCAAGCGAGGGGATAGAGATGGAGAGCATCCGCCATCAAGACCTGGGTCTTGGGGGAGCCATAGGCACCCCGTCCCCTCCGTCCAGACAAGCCTGGAGCCGGGATAACCCGGGATTTGAACCCGAGGAAGGGATCGTGGAGGCGGACTGGCCTCCGGCGAGCTCCGGGAGGAGATCGGTGTCCACGGCCTCTAGCAGCAGCTGCAGTAGCGGCTTGGGCAGCAGCTACAACCGCGGGGGAAACAGCGGCCAGATCCCCCGAAGAGGACTCTTTTCTACTCCGACTCTAAACACCCAGCAGCAGGACAGGCATGAGCACCGCAGCTGTATGAAGCAGATACTCCAAAAGATCAGGAGTAAGTAGAACTTCACATGTTTAAATTAAAGTTTATGAACTTTAATTCATGATTAAAACACTAGATATGACAGTGTTATTAGACAGAACCTGTTAGGATAACGTGAAAATCATGAAAGAGCAGTGGCTCAGAAGGGTTATTAATTGGACAGTTGTGGGTTCGATCCCAGCTTATTAATTTTGCCGCTGTGCCTTTGGGCAAGACTCTCAAAAAGCGTTTTTGGCAATCCATAAACAGTGCATTTAGTAAAATGTCTATTTGAGACTGCAGAGCATTATGAAAGAAGGCACTAAAAGACAACATATTTAGTGATCAAATATGAATTGTCCAAATAAATAAATACATTCATAAATAAACAAATAAATAAATTTTATCAGTAAAAACCCACATTTGATCCAAATGAAAATGGGAAAGATGAGTTGACTCCACAATCAAATGAATTTTTTTAATGCACCTTAAATGCTGACTTATTTGAGACGTTTTGTTACTTCTGCTCTTCCACGTTTAAGGGTCCAGTATAGGTGTATCATATGTATGAATGCATGTGTGTTTATGATATGTGCTCATCTCTATGCTTTCCTCCACAGATCTGTGGGGCACAGAGCTGATGGAGGCCAGCGACAGCAGCCGAGAACTGTACCTCAGGAACGTGTTGAGGGAGATGCTCACGTACATCACTTTCCTCATTACTATTTGTATTCGTAAGTAAATAAATAACACACAAATGTAAAATGCTACGATGATGTTCAGTCGTCAAAGATCAAAGTTGACAAATAAGCTTGATAACCAATTGGCTACCTTTAAATCCAAACTTTAGAAAAGTTTTGTTACCACAAAACCAACTCTACACTTAGTTAATATCTTCATGAATGCAAGCGTTTAAATATCTGAAACACTAGTGTGCGACTGAAGGAGGATAACTGTAAATTCAATGGGAACCAGGTTTTTAACAAGTGTTATTTTTCAGTGTTTTGCTGCAACCACTAAACTTATTTATTGTTATCTTTTTATTGTACTTGGTGTCAGTGAAGTGCATTGATTATAAAATAGTACATGCTGTCATTAAAAAAAACACAAATCTGGAAAAGTACTGAGTCATTCAGACAGGCCTCAGCAGCAGGAGGGTCAGATACTCTTAGGAACATAATTGGAGAGACGGCAAGCACAAAAAAGTCTGCACTTGTCATGCTCTGAACTGAACATTCAGTCAATGGAAGCGTTTACAAAACGTGGCACCATTCCTGTACCTGGAAAACCATTTTCCAATGTCAGACTTTAACCATAACGAGTTTGGCAGCTAAAACTCCATCTCTGATGTTTGCCAGGAGGTTTAAAATCTACTAACATCACAAATTTGAGGAGTTCATTTTGAGACTGAAAGTGGAAATATAATGTGCATGACTAGAAAACTAGTGAAACTAATATATTTTTTTCCATTTTCATTACTGCAGTGAAAATCCTATTCTGTGGTTTAGGGCGGATCAGGAAATGGTTTTCTGGCAGAGAATTAAGGCGCGTTACGCCAGGAACAGCTTGACTCTTTAGAGGTTTCCTTCTCGCTGTGAGAGCTAATGAGAAACGGAACGGATAGATGAAAAGTTATCTTTCAGATGATTGTAAATAAGGCAGCCAGTCACTTTATTTCATGGATACTTTCAGAAAATATTTTTGTTTTGCTCCACACGGTGCAGTGACCTATGGGATGGTGAACGCCAACATGTACTATTACACCAAAGTCATGTCTCAGCTGTTCCTAGACACGCCGCTCTCTCCTGGGAACCCCACTACTTTTAGGAGCCTCTCCACCATGGAGGATTTCTGGAAGGTAAAGTGCAGTAATACTAAAATTACAGTATTTTGTTTCACACATATTTTTGTTTCTATATTTTCATTTGTGGTTTGTCTAAACTCACATACTACTGTTTTTGTGGTTTTGATGCCCTAAAATCTACTTGATTGTGATTTAACCAGGGTACGGCATCAAGCATCGATTGACACTGGCACTATTTTTCAGTTTTTCCCAGAATCGATAAAATATTTAAATTTTGTTCCTAATTATAATACCCAGTCCGCCAATCGGAAGAAGAAGTTGTTGAATACCAACAAAGCTGGAAGTGTTTGCATTATTGTGCAATCATGGAAAAAGTGCAAGGCGCTCTTAAAGGGACACAATGCAACTTTTTCAAATTTTAAATTATTTTCTTGAGCCTGTATGTGCTAAAATGACTCTTTACAGGGTTAACGAAAGGCCACTGAGCCCCTATCGCACCCTGTGGCCAGAATATTGCACTTGCAACTAGGGCTGAAACGATTCCTCGAGTACCTCGAATAATTCGAGTACAAAAAATCCTCGAGTCAAATTCTCTGCCTCGAAGCTTCGTTTAATTCATGTTTAATTAATTCATGGCTTTGCAATCGCCCGTGGTCATGTTTCACCCGGACCGAAATAAGTGACGCACATACACACTGCACTGAATGCACACGCGAGTAGCGAACGCAACTTAACTTTCTTTTAAGCCATGGCGGACAACGTGGACCCGGTGGAGTGCGAAAAAGACCCAAAATGTCAAAGGTGTGGGACCATTTTTCACGTCGTAAGGCGGAAAACGTACTCCAGTGTAAATACTGTAAAATGGATTTAGCCTACCACAACACCACATTCCTCGATGCTGCAACCTGACCAGGAAACGTCCACATGTAAATGTCACTTCTGCAAGCGGACTCGGAGCCTCTACAAGATAATGCATTTTAGCCTGCATTTCTATATATTCTGCAGACACTGTGCGACTTTTTCATTTGTAGCACTCAGTTTCAGCTCACACCGTACGTCTGGTAGCAACACGTCGGACTTAAAATGTGCTAAACAAATAGCAGTTTTTACAACACGTCGGACTTTTTACTGTGTTGTTATTGATGCCTGTTGTCACTCGGGATTGCTGCAGGAGGACACGGGTATTTATGAGCGTGGCGGAGGAAAACGAAAGGAAGTAAATAAATGTTTTGTGATCTGTATAATTTGACATAACCACGGCAAACATGCTTTCGACAATCCTTGTTAGTGTGAGAAAAAAAAGTGTAGAAATTAAAACGAACGTGTGTTAATAGGGAAACAGCCGGCGAGCCATGTTTGCGCATGCGCCATGAACTGTTCTGGTTCTGTTTGGGCCGCAGCCGCTCGCATTTGTTTACTGTGAAGTAAAGTTGAAGTGCTGAAGTTTTGAAAACTAATTTTGAATAAAACTTGAAGAATAACTGGCAATTACTTTCTCATTTCAAGAGGTCTTTCATATTTTATAACATGCTATTTGATATAATGGTTTATAAACGCAAAAGAGTAATTTATTAGAGTACTCGATTAACCGATAAAAGATTCGATAGAGTACTCGATTACAAAAATATTCGATAGCTGCAGCCCTACTTGCAACATCACAGTTGTCGGTCGGGTCTGCTGGGACTTAGAAGAAAAAATTGACCTGACCTACTTGGCACTGCTGTCTGGCTTCAGCACAATCCTGCATGCTTTAGATCATGAACACAGTTGATTTGTTTATTTTAGTGATGAATAACTCCTGTAGACGCTAAGGACCACTGGGAGACATTTTAGCTGTTAGATTTAGGTGTTAAAAAGACAAACGCACAGTGAAGAGATATGTCTTGGTTTCACTTCTACAAACAGAAACTAGGGGGTGCAAAAACATAGTTTCCCTTTAAAGGGATACTATGCAACTTTTTCATACTTTAAATCATTTTCTTGAGCCAGTGTGTGCTAAACTGACTTTACGGGGTTAATGAAATGTAATTCAGACCTCTAACGCTCTCTGTTGCCAGAATACCGCATTTGCAACTTCAGAGTGCCTGGCTGCCATCTATGGACATCCAGCTCGTTTCCTGCATGTTTTAGGCAAGGCAGCTTTATTTGTATAGCACATTTCAAACACAAAGGCTATTCAACGTGCTTTACAGACGCAAGAACAGAAAACAGTATATCCAACAAAGAAATGTAGATATTAATTTCAGATTCAACAAACAGATAAAATGCATAGTCAAAAGGTTAGCAGTTACAGTGCAGAAAGTGCAGCACAACAAAGATTTATTCAAAGGCTGATGAATACATTAAGGTTTTTAATTTTGATTTAAAAATCACTAGAGTTGGGGCTCATTTGAGGTCATGAGGAAGCTGATTCCATCTGTGTGCAGCATAGTGACTAAAGGCAGCTCCACCCTGTTTGGTTCTGACCCGAGGTACAGAGGTTTAGGTCATGAACACAGCTGATTGGTTTCATTTGGTGATAAACTGCTCCTGAAGACTCTAATGAAGGCTGAGGAGACATTTAAGCATTTAGGTTCAGGTGCTAAAAAGACACAGCGAGGAGATAAGTTTCATTTTTGCTTTGACCACAGATAATTAATAATGGACACTAGGGGGTGGTAAAAGCAAGCAAAACCGCTTCGTATTCCTTTCAAGTGTTCATGGAATTAAAACTCATGGATAAGTTCAGACAATTTCATCAACCATGGTTAGCTGGCTCTTATAAAACGTAAAGTTTTTTTTAACCTGCCTTGTGAAAGAATTGGATTCAAGGATTGTTCTGAACCAAAATCCAAACAAGGAATTTCAATTGAAACCAGAATCCTTCAAATTCAAGTGATTGTGTTTCTGTGGTGAACAAAAGCAATGCTTTGGTTTCTTCTGTGCAGTTGCCCTGATTGTTCTGCCCTTCTTAGTTCACACAGGGGCCCTTTCTCCGCGGCATGTACTGGGAAGTTTGGTACAACAAAGATCGCCTGCCTGAGAATCAAAGCCTCATCTACTATGAGAATCTCCTTCTCGGAGTGCCAAGGCTTCGGCAGGTCAAAGTTCATAATGAGTCCTGCTCCATCCACGAAGACCTGCAGGATGAGGTCAGAGACTGCTATAACATTTACACCTCGAGCAACGAGGACACCAGCTCCTTTGGTCCAAAGAATGGAACGGCGTAAGGCAGCACATTGTGGGAGAGCCAAGCGTTTTTGGACTCTTTCATGTAATAGCTGTGCCTAAATCGTTTTTGTCTTGATGTCTGACAGATGGGTGTACACCACTGAGAGCGGGATGAACGGCAGCAGTTACTGGGGTCATGTGTCTAAGTATGGAGGGGGAGGATACTACCAGGATTTGTTTCGGACCAAAGAGGAGTCGGCTAGTCAGCTACAGTTTCTCAAAGACCACTTGTGGCTGGACAGAGGCACTAGAGCGGTCTTCCTCGACTTCTCTGTTTACAACAGAAACATAAACCTTTTCTGTGTCACCAGGTAAGATCCTTAATCAGCCAAGCAGAAACAAATGCAGATTTGAATCTTGTGCACAAAACCTTCCCGTAGCGGACGGCTTCCATCTCATAAAGTCAGCAGGATTGTTTTGATCTGTCAGGTTGTTGGTGGAGTTCCCCGCTACTGGTGGGGTGGAGACCTCTTGGCAGTTTCAAACAGTGCGTCTGATAAGATATGTGTCCAGCTGGGACTACTTTGTGGGTGTGTGTGAAGTGGTCTTCTGCCTATTCATCCTCTACTATGTGGTGGAGGAGGTGTTGGAGATCCACATCCACCGGCTGCATTACTTCAAGAGCATGTGGAACTGCCTGGATGTCCTCATTGTTGCGGTGTGTGATCATTTTTTCTTTTCTGGATTATTTCTCTGCAAGCATCCAATGACTTTGTTTTCATTTGTCTTTTACAGTTGAGTGTTGTTGCTATTGTCATGAACATAACCAGAACAGCAATGGCCAGAAACCTGCTCAGTGGCCTGTTGGAGAACCACACTGCTCACCCTAGATTTGAGCCACTGGCCAACCTTCAGGTCCAGTTTAACAACATGGCTGCTGCTATTGTGTTTTTTTCCTGGGTTAAGGTACAAATCTTTCCCTTGCAGTTGTGAATCACTCCGAAGCGTTCTGACGTATAATGACGTGGTATTAAAATAACTCATGTCTCACTTCCACCAGCTTTTTAAGTTCATCAACTTCAATAAAACCATGAATCAGCTGTCCAGCACGATGTCCCGCTGTGCCAAAGACCTCGTGGGGTTTGCAATTATGTTCTTCATCATCTTCCTAGCATATGCGCAGCTCGCCTACTTGGTGTTTGGAACTCAAGTCAACGATTTCAGCTCTTTCCAGGCCAGCATGTAAGAGCAATCAGTTTGGCTCTCAGAATCAACAAAACCTAACCAAATTGGTAAAAAATGTATCTTGTATCTGTAGACTTACCCAGTTTCGAATCATCCTGGGAGACTTTAACTTCCCAGAGATCGAAGAAAACCCAGTGCTTGGACCTATATATTTCACAACCTTTGTCTTCTTCATTTTTTTTATTCTCATGGTACGTATGTAGCTTGATTGTGGTTAAGAGGAGTGTTTATGATTGTTGATGGTGAGATGCTCTCCACAGAACATGTTCCTGGCTATCATTAATGACACATACTCTGAGGTGAAGGCTGACATGTCCCAGCAGAGATCTGAGATGGAAATGACTGACCTCATCAAGAAGGTATTCAACTACATACTCATACATTCATATATATATATATATATATATATATATATGTGTGTGTGTGTGTGTGTGTGTGTGTGTTAGTACGGTAGAATCAAGTGGAAAGAATGGGTTGTTGAGAAAGGTAGGGGAGGTGGCAGTTTGGAGATTGTACCACTAGATGTCACCAAATTGTTCTCACTGGAGCTTAATTTCACTTTGGGGGAAAAAATCATGGTAAAGAGATTTCATTCTTTTTTTTTTCCTCTTGGTGAAACTCCACAGGGTTGTAACAAAGCTTTGATGAAGCTAAGACTGAAGAAGACGGCAGTGGACGACATCTCTGACAGTTTGCGACAAGCAGGGGGAAAAGTGAACTTTGATGAGCTCCGTCATGATCTCAAAGGGTGACCAGAAGTTTGAATCTTATTAAGAACCATAAAGTTGTCACAGTGCTGACATTGTCACTTTCGTGTAGCTGTCTTTCAGCCTCTTCTGTTTAATATTTTTTATGCAGAAAGGGCCACACAGATGCAGAGATTCAGGCCATCTTTGCTAAGTACGACCAGGAGGGCGACCCGGAACTGACAGAACATGAACACCAGCAGATGAGAGATGATCTGGAGAAAGAGAGGGTGAGGGCCCAGAGCCAAAAGCTTGTTTTGCTTCCCAAAGCAAATGTCAGAGTTCACACAGACACTCAGTGTGTTTTTGTCCATATGCTAGGAGGATTTGGAGCTGGAACGCAATTCACTGACTCGACCCAGCAGTGGGCGGAGCTTCCCTCGCACCCAGGAAGACTCGGAGGAGGATGATGATGAGGACTCGGGTCACAGTTCTCGTCGCCGTGGCAGCAGCTCAGGCGGTGTCTCTTATGAGGAGTTCCAAGTGTACAAAGCTTTTACATCTATTGTCCTTTTTACTAATGACAGCAGATTGACTGGGAGTTTAGAGCAGGGGTCACCAGCCTCAGCTGAATGCTACTGCACTCACTGAGCCATGCGAAGGGCCACCATCTCACTACTGTCTTCTACATCTTTCCTTTAATTCTTGCTGAAATCCTTTTATCACACATTGCATACTTCACTTCTCTTCCTCACTCTTTGAAGCTTTAGACCGTAGACCCTAAGTCCTTACAGTGTTCCAACAATGGCTATCTGTCATCTTGGTATCTTTTAACCATGTAACATGACAGAAGTCCTCCTTGTTCCTCCTTTGCCAGGCTAGTGAGGCGCGTGGACCGAATGGAGCACTCCATCGGCAGCATCGTGTCCAAGATAGATGCTGTGATTGTGAAGTTGGAGGGAATTGAGAGAGCCAAACTTAAAAGACGAGACGTGTTGGGCCGGCTGCTGGACGGAGTCATGGAGGTGAGATACATCAGACACATTCAGTGAGGTGTAAACATGATGGCAGAAAAATGTTCACTTGTTATTGTGACGTGAGAAATCCCTGCAATAAAAAGATCCAATCTTCTGATTTAAATAACCCAGTGTCCATAAGATGAAATTCATACTAGATAGGAATTTTTTATGTCTTATGGTCCTTAAATAAATGTAATTAACATCTATCATTACATTATATTTGTTAGGATGAGCGTTTGGGACGGGACACAGACGCCCACCGAGAGCAAATGGACAGACTTGTGAGGGACGAACTGGAACGCTGGGAGTCAGACGACACAGCCTCCCAGGTCAGCCACCCTCAGCTGGCCACTCCCGTCGGGCTGCGTCCCCGTCCTCCCTCCTCCCTGTCCACAGACGGTCTTGACGCGAGCGCTAATGTGTGAATGCCTGACAAGCTGCAGGATCCTCCACTGAGGACAAAAACTTTTGGAAAACCTCCTGCAGTGGTCGACAAATCAACAAATGTGGAAAAGTTTTGAGGAACAAATTTGAGACTTTACAGAAAAAGTAAATTTTAGTTTACAAAAGAAATAACGAAGTCCATTTTAGCTCACTTTGAGTCCTTAAATGACTGTAGGTGGGTTCTAAATCTGAGCATCAGAGAGTATTACTGTCAAAAAGAATGCATTGAGTATGTCAAGAACATCACAGTATTTGACCTTTGTAGAAAAATAAGCTTCACTCAGAACTAAAAAAAAACTGGATTTCATCACATTTTGTCTTTTATACAAATATTTAACAGCCTTTCTACATTTTTGTTGACATTCTTTCCATACATTTTAACATAAATACAAGCATGGCAGGTTTTGTCATATTTACTCAATCAATTAAGCTTCAAAACAATTAGCTTATGATTTTATGATACATATTGTAACTTGAAACAAACTTCGATTTGGAGTGCGTCTAGTGTTCACAGGAAGCCTGTGCATTTATTATTTTAAATCGCTTTGGATTTACAATCGTTTTATGATCCATTTTGCCAAATAAAGTTTTATGGAAACAATCTTGTATTTGATCTTCTCAAAATCTACAGTAAGCGGGAATATTGTTGCTTTTCAGCTTTTCTTTTGAAATGCAGACAAGTTAGTTTTAAATGGAAAACGAGCAAAATCTCTGCTTCAGATTTTAGCTGCTTTTTTATTTACTGTCTAAATGTACAATAGATGGTTCTGAAAAACTAAAAGAATAATAAACATCAATACTCATAGAACACATAAAAGCACAACATATGAGGCAAGATTTCCAATTTAACACAAAACAGGAAATTGGATTTTAACTATATAATGTGGCATAAAGTCTTGTGATTTTTTTGTTTTGCTTTTAATTTATATCATTATTTTAGTGAATACATATAAAGACTAAATAAACTGATATAAAGGTTACATGACCACAATAATAATGTGGAAAGCGCTACAACAGATTTAAAAATCTTCTAAATGCTCATAATTTTACACAAATGATTAGTTCTGAGGTAATGCTTCAAAAACAGGATCATGAATGAAAGCTGACATACTGAAAATTGTTAACTGCTCTTTAATGTCAGGAATTTTTCCTAAATCACTGAAAACTGCCGATGTTAAACCCTTTCTAAAGAAGAGGAAACTAGGTCCCTCAGTGTTGAGCAACTACCCGATCTCTAATCGCCCTCTGATTGGTAAACTTATCAAAAAAGCAGTATTGATCCAAATAAACAACTTTCTGGAATCAAATAACATTATGGATGGTTTTCAGTCAGGCTTTAGACAGCACCACATTACTGAGACTGCACTGATCAAGGTATTAAATGACATTCATCTAAACACGGACACAGGTAAAGCATCTGTCCTGATGATGCTCGACCAGTGCAGCTTTTGATACTGTGGACCATAACATACTCCTTGATAGGCTCACAAATTGGGTGGGACTATCCGGTACAGTCCTTGCCTGGTCCCAATCATATTTGGGGATCGTAAATCAAAGCTGATCACCATGACATATGGGGTCCCCCAAGGTTCAATTCTAGGACCGCCACTCTTCAATCTGTACATGCTCCCCCTGGTGCAGGTCATACTTAATAACAACATTGCCTATCATAGCTACGCTGATGACACCCAGATCTACCTAGCCCTATCACCTAGTGACTATCGTCCGCTGGACTCACCCTGTCAGTGCCTAGAGCAAGTAAACGACTGGATGCAGTCAAACTTCCTTCAGTTAAACAAAGAAAAGACTGAAGTTATTGTCTTTGGCAATAAGATTAGGATGGATGTTATTGACTCCAAAGGAATAAAGACAAAACCCCAGATTAGAAATCTAGGTGTTATTATTGACTCAGTCCTGAGCTTCTCTGGACATATTAAGGCTATAACTAAATCAGCATTTTTTTAATCACCTTCATCTAATAGCAAGAGTAAGAGGTCTCATGTCCAGACCAGTCTTAGAGAAAATCATTCATGCTTTTATTTCCAGCCAGTTGGACTACTGCAATGGTCTTCTAACTGGTCTTCACAAAAAAAGCTGTGAAGCAACTGCAGCTTGTTCAGAATGCTGCTGCTAGAGTCTTAACAAGAACTAAGAGAACGGAGCACATCACTCCTGTTCTTAAATCTTTACACTGGTTATCAGTAAACCACAGAATAAATTTCAAAGTGCTCCCACTAGTTTATAAATCACTCAATGGCATGGGGCCAAAATACATGTCAGATCTCATTCCTGTATATAGACCCAACAGGGCTCTGAGATCCTTAGGAAACAATCAGCTAGTAGAACCTTGGGTCAGAACCAAACAGGGTGAAGATGCATTTAGCTACTATGCTGCTCACATATGGAATCAGCTCCCCCCAGAACCTCAGATCTGCCCCAACCCTAGTGTTGTTTAAATGAAAACTTAAAACCCTAATGTTCTTATCAGCCTTTGAATGAATTATGCTGCATCATCTCCACTCTGTTGTGTAATTGCTCAACCTTAATTCTGTCTTTTTCTTTTAGCTCTAAATTATAATTTTATTTGTGTTTATTTTAATTTGTGTTCACATGTTTGTTGTTGTGCCATTTCATGCCAATTGTAAAACACATTGAATTGCCCCATGTTTGAAATGTGCTAAATAAAGCTGCCTTGCCCATATGAAGAAAAAAAGCATTAAGAAAAAGAAAATGACCCTTGTCGAGTTTCTGATTAAGAGTGTAGCTTCATACGCTAGCTTAGCAGCTAAGCTAATGGTAGCCTGGAGTTTTTGAACCATTCAGAGAGAAAAACTCAGCAGAGAAACAGCAACTCGTGTCACCTCTTTGACAATATATGACTTATAATTTAGAAAAAAAAAACACCTAAAACTTACCTACTTTTTAGCTATCGCTACTGGCTCTGACTCGTCTCGTGGCTTGTGACAAACAGAACTTACGCCATGCACATACTCGTATATGTGCATCACGCCATGCACATATTTGGTCATGTGATTTTCTAAGTCAAACTATCACTTTATGATAGGGCAATGGCAACTGGAGGAGGAGCTCAAGTCACCATTTTGCTGCAGCTAGGTGCCTTTCAAAAAATTGGGGGAAAAAAGATGATGCGATTTTAGGTCACGTGACTCCCGGGTTCGAACAAGCCCTTCCGGTAAGGCAACGGCAGCTGGAGGTGAATCAAGTCGCCATTTTTTGCAGTCAGGTCCTCTTGAGGAGATTTTCTGAATGACCTCAGTTAAGACAAACTGAATATTAAACAGATCGGATAAGCTAATGTTAGCAGTTTTTGAAAACATGATGAAGCTTGATTGTTGACATTGAGTTCCACAATTATTTACAAGTCATTAGCAGGAACTATTTGTAACATAAAGGCATGAAAACTGAGTTTGAATTAACTAATGTGAAATTTTAGATAAAAGCTGTGTTTCCCCTGTAGGAGTTCTGGGACATTTCTGGAAGACGAAAGGATGACAGGGAAAATAAGCTGGCTTGGTCCTCTCAGCTATTGTCTCCATACAAAATCGACCCTTTTAGGACTTTGCTAAGACGTCAGCATATTGCAGCCGTTTTGGCAGTGAATGATGCCAGCGTTGAGCGCCAAAAGACATCAACATACATTAATAACATTGATAAAGGAAGCAACTCTTCCAATTTTACAAATGTTGGTTGTTTGGCAAAGTCTGCTGATATCATTTCCCACCATCCGTAACCTCAATCCTAGCACAGCAACTCTACTGGGCCGTTTCAGAATACATAAACTGATACAGGTACTCAGTTGGCCCTTGAAATGGCTGGAAAGGTTTGCCTTTCCAGTGAAATGGAGAAATGCCATGCTGTATAGGTCTGGAAAAATTACCCGTTCCAAAAAGTGATAATGAAAATGAGCCTATGTTTTTTTTTATCATTACACTTGGCCTTGTTTGCTCTCAGAATCTCATACTAGCAATTTACTCATTCGTCCTGATTAATTTTTCTGAACAGAGGCCATTCAAGAGGCCCCCTAAAATAGGTTAAATAATAATGATTAACAACCTCTCTTTCTTGTCTGTCAAGCACTGTTTCCATTGAGGGGTTTGGTCGTAGAGGATCGGGACACAATTTTGTCTATTGCTCTAATAAAAGCGGGTCATCCAACTGAACTGAACCATTCCACTCATGGGTCCACTTCAGTTGTAGGTCCATAGGACAATGGAGTGGCACGGCTAATGCAGATTAGCCGGTGTCACACAGCACAATCCATTTACTGCGGAACAGAAAAACTTAACTGCTTGCAACAAGCAATGTATACACCAGAGTGCTGTTGTTTGTATCATCTTTTGTACACGTATGTGACAAGATGCCAGGAAGCAGTGGCAAGGTTTGTTCAGCTTCAAAACTACAGACATTCCTCATTATCATCAACGATATACAAGATAGTATGCAGTTAGGTTTAACCTCGCATGGTAAGTGAGCGTCCAACTGGTGATCAAAATGCTGTCCTGAAACCGCCGACCCAATGCCGGACCACTACAACCTGAATCAGACCAATCCACTCAATGGAATCGCATCAAACATATTATCCAAAATGCCATAACAGAAAACTTCAAATGCACAATCGGAGGAATTTTGAGTCACACTAGGTGAACTTCTTGATGTAGCGGAGCTTCAGGTAGGCCACAATGAGGAATATGACCGTCATGACAGTCAAAGCTATGTGATTCTCCCACAATCCCCAGAGGCTGTGCTCTATTCCCAAGTAGTCCAGGTACTGCTCTCCTGTACACCTGAAACAACACAGCATAACTCCTTGTTAGAGGACGAGGACAGTTTGTGAATTGGTAAGATGCCGCTGTGAGGAATTGTACTCACATCTGGCCAGCTGTGCTCACAGTGCAGTTGTTCTTTATTCCTGACAGGTTGGTGTGTTGGATCAAAGACTCCTCGCAAAAATTCAAACCAACAAACTCATTGATCTTCAAGGCCTGAATGTGCACAATGTATGAGCATCAAATCCAGCAGCAAGTTTTAAAACTATTTAGTTTAAAACAATGATAAAATTTTAAAGGGGACACATTGTGCAAAAGTCACCCTTTGCATCCTTTTGTACTGCCATATGGGCCCCTACTGCCTCTACAAACTTCATTTGAAAAAGTCCCTGTTTGTGATGTCACAAACGAGGAAATTAGCCTAGAACCATATGCTGGAGGAGCAGTGGCTGCGTCCTTAGTTCCTCTAGGATGCCGGAGCTTCTCAGCTTAAAGCAGCCTGTGCGGGGGGATGGGTGGGCGTGGGCAGCTCCAGTTTGTTTTCTTAAAGTGACACAGAGCCCTGAAATGGCTCATTCTGGAAGGAATTGAAAGTGTCAAGAATAAAACTGCTGAAATTTCTTTATGTGATAAGGGTTTAGAGCCAGGCCCCATAATCCTGGGATTTTTATGGAGGCAACACGGAAGTAGCAAAAATTGCAGTTCCACGCTCATCCACTAGAGTGTGGCAGCAGAAGTGAGCAAATTCTCATTCACTCTCATGTTAAAAATGCTCTGTAGAAATCAACATGTTTACAGCCTGGTTCAAAAACATTTTAGGTTTAACAGATCTAGTTTACATTCATGACAACTCTGAGGGGGGTCCATTTTTTGTAACTCTTTTGTTTAAGTGGAATTTAATGCTTAAAATTCTGAATAATTGATGAGCATCAGAGCCACGTGACTTAAGAGCTAGCTCCGGGGAAAGGCCTCAGCCTCACATTAATAGATGTTTGACCATTTTCACTCTAAACCTTAGCTGTGTCCTCTGTGTTTGTGTTCGTGTTTGGATGTTAATCATGGAATTATTTGGATAAAAAGGCCGATCTGTGGTTAATGACTGCATTAACAGATCATCCAAGTAGTTTCTGCTTCATTTTTATCTGTAAGTAAATTTATATTTATGTACATTATTTTGCTGGTTGAATCATTTGCTGCTGTGGCCCCCAGACTCTGGAACTCTCTACCCCTGAGCCTGAGATCAGTGGACTCAGTGGATTCCTTTAAAAAGCAGCTGAAAACTCACTTGTTCGGGCTGGTTTTGGTGTGACCTTCATCACCCTTTCCTTATTCTGCTCTTGTTCCACCTTTCCCGAAATACACTGATTTCCCTGATTTCTATTCATTTTCTCTCTCTTTCTTTCCTTACATTTTTTATCAATTTTTTTCTCTTTCTTTATTTTAAACATATTTTTAATCATATTTTGAAAATTAAAATAAATTTTTATTTTGTTTGTTTTTGTGAAGCGCCTCATGATTTTTATCTTGAGAGGCGCCATACAAAAGATTGTTTTATTTCTTTCTTTCCATTCCCGCATCCCGGGGCAGCCGAGACTCGCAGACCAGCTTTGATGCGAGGCTGTAGTCATGCTGGTCACTTGTGGATCTCTGAGGGAGACCACAGACACACTGCAGCTCTTTTAGTTTACACTGATTCACTTTTGAGTCACTCAGCCACATTTTTCTCGTTAATATAACGTGAATATAACATGAGCATGAGCTGATGTAAAAGGCCACCGCGCCCGACTACGATCGCAGTGGTCTGAGGCTCTGTTTGTAATTTAACAGTCCCAGTCGATATTAGATCTCCACAGGCAACCAGCATGACTACAGTCTCGCACAAATGCCAGTCGGCCGTGCAGGTGGGCTACCCCGAGCCCCTTCTTAGCTTCTTGGTTTAGCTAAGTTAGCTAGTAGCAACATTGGTTCATTTGTTCCAACCATAACAGCCCCACCCTAAGCTCCACCTCTTTTCCCATTTTTTGGATTGTCTGGCCGTGACGAGACGTGTGACACGGTCAAAATGGCGGTGGCAGGAACCTCACATTTTAAATCAAAAACTTATAAATCGAGCCTATAGACATTATTTGTTCAGTATAAATATATATATATGTCGATGTTTAGAGCAAAGAACTGTATAAACATGTTTTTTCATAGACTATGTTGAGCAAAGAACTATTATAACTTCGAACAAAAAGTCATAATATGTCCCCTTTAAGAATATTTTTTGATTTTTCTTACTGCAAAACCATAACGAGGAATGCTGAAGTACTTCAGCCAAGCCAGCCAGTTCACGATACTGGGCAGGTTCACCAGGAGACCTGAAAAAATCTGAAAACGACAAAACAAACTCAGCTTGAGGGCCTTTAAAGAGGGAGTTAACCACTATTTATTTAGTATACTTGGCCTTGATTTGCTCCTGTGTTCTTACCATCATAAAGACAAATGTGATGGTCATGAAAATGTTGGCGAGAGCCACCACGCTCTGATCAGCTGAGATGGCCATAGTCATAGCTGTGGCCGTGTAGGCCACCAGAGTCACTGTCAGTGTGAAGACTAGAAAGGCTTCTGTAGTGGACTTCAGCCCTGAAGGGACATGCCGTCGTCACTGATTAATTGTTGGACTGATTTATGAGTTTTTATTCATATGATGTAGCAGCTGAACCTTAAATCTATACTCAACTGAGTTAGCTACTAGTTCTGCGGCTCTTACCGATCAGAAAGTAGACAGTGAAGCTGAAGATGACAGAGGCGACGGTGCGCATGGTCAGGTCAGCCAGGATCTTCGACAGGAAGTAGACTGATACTCTGTAGTAGCCACTGATGTATTCATGCCTGTCACAAAATGACACACGTTATAAACACAGTTGTCTGTTGCAGTGTTAGTATATGTAAATGAATAGAATGAACAAAAGCTGACTGTTCTGAACCACTTTGATTCAGGGTGCATACACAAACTGTTTCCTCTCAGTGATGAAGAGCTCAGCAGCAGACACGGTGCTGAAACACTGGTTAGTTGTGATGAAGAAGAGAGCACCCATCCTGCAGGTCATGGATAACACAGGATTAAGTGTTTGTGTCAAAAGTTACAAGCAGATCAAATTCAGGCAGCTGCTCACTAAAATAAAAGCAGGGTATAAGCTTTTAGTTTAAGACTGACACATTCAGAAGTATATTAAAATGTAGTTTGAATCCTAACTATTTGATATTTGGATTGGTAAGGAGTGAAATACCGTACTATACCATACCAACTTTATTTTCTATAGCACAATTCAAAATACAGAGTGAGAGCTGACCAAAGTGCTAAACAGGCAGGATCAATTAAAACAGAAAAAGACGAAAGCCATAAGGATCTAACCATTAATACAAGGCACCAATAGCAGGCAAAAACCAAAAAGAACAGGAGATAAAAAACACAACAGTATAAACAATAAAATGAGTCACTGTCTGAAAGCCAAGTCATAAAAGTGGGTCTTTAAATGAGACTTAAAAACACCCATTATGACCTGTTTTCCACTGAACCACGCCCAAAACCAAAAACAAGGACACCAGCAACACTTCAAACAAAGATAACATCAATAGTCATGCAATGATTTGAAACCACATCTGATTACGTCGGTGTCTGTTTTCATGCGTCCTAAATAATTAGACAGAAAACTGCTTTTGCTTTAGGAAAAACGTGTGCTAGACAGGTTCTCTAACCTGTTCTGGATCCCACTTTGATCATCTTTAACTCCAAAGAAAATGACTCCAACAATAAGAGCCAGGAAAATGTTGACTCCCAGCTGAATGGAAAAGAAAAACAACAACAAAGATTTGCCCAAACAGGGGAAATTAAAACATTTATTTGTGTTATATTATAATATTTAAACATATATTATATAAATATTTAGGACTGCAGAATACTTTTTAAACCTCCTGCTGGGAGAAAAACCTGAGAGCAACAAAAGTTTAAAGCCTAACAAGTTACAAATAACAACAAGACCAAGAGGTTCCCAGGGTGAGCGGATCAGTCAGTACATCTGAGCCTTTTTAACCTCATGTGGTCCCTCATGTGGAATCAAGGCAGCAGATATGGGACAGGTCATGGCTCCGTCATGTGACAGCCACAGATCCGGGCAAAGAGGCTTTTGTTAGATATGATATCATTTCAGATCTAGGCTCCAGGAAGCAAGAGTCAGGTCACAATAGTCACCAAAGCCGATTAAGGCACCCAGGCTATCCGGGGCACCTCTCGCGGGATTATTTTGACTTATTTAGGACCAATTAGCTGTTACTAATTCCTAAAGTGAGGAGAGTTCTAACAGCATTTTGCCGCCCTGGTTGACTAATGAGGGCACTGAAGTGACCCCTTCAAAGAGCTGTCTGTGTCTTGGTGTTAACGACCAGAAAAGAGTAGAAATGTTCACCTGAGCCACGGACGTTTGAGGGGTCAGCATGAGGTTCTGAAAGGTCCTGTGACAGACCCATCGAAGCTGGTGAAAGAAGGAGGTGTTGTAAGTGATGGTGCGAGACTTGACTTGTGAAAAACACTCCTTATTCTGGACGATGTGCTTTAGCTCTGCTTGTGTGTCACCGGAGTAGCTGCTGTTCCTGTACTCTTCTACCAGGCGCTCCTCGATGCTCTGCCTGGTGGCACCGAGCTCCAAGTCCAAACCTGCCCACAATAACAAGCGTTAATTAACATTTTATTAAATTAAACATTTTAAGATATTCATCAATGCTGGACTAACATTGACGAAATGCTGACTCTTGGTTATTATAAACTCGGCCATGATGAAAGTGTGAGGTGTACATGAGGTTCTACCTGCAGAGGTGTGGGCTTTGGTCGGCCCAGTTAAGTCTCCATTTAGAACATCAAGAAAGAAGTCAGCTGGATTGTTGTGGGGCTCACATGGATAGCCTGGAACGTAAAACACGTCTGGTGTAATCCCTGCAACTCAAAAGGGAACTTCATGGATAATGGTAATAGACTCTTCACCAATGTTGGTAAAATAGTCCAAAGCGTTTGGCGCTGGTCCGTGGTACACCATTCTCCCACCAACCAGCAGCGTCAGCGAGTCAAAGAGTCTGTAGATGGAGTAGCGAGGCTGGTGGATGGACATGATGATGGTTCTGCCATCACTGGCCATCCTGGAAACAAACACCAATGAGAGAAAAGCAACTTAATGTGACCTAAATAAAACATTTATATTTTATAACCTATCGAGCTGGGATCAGGACTTTATTACACGTGACTTGTACCATGATTTGTAACTTGTAATATATTTTGTACCTGTAACTTTTGTTTTGTGACAAGTAACTTTCGTTTTGTAACTTGCGTGCTGTGTGCATGTATGTGTGTCTGCTCTGTCTCCTCAAACCCTTGGTGGGTCATGCTGGATGCCTGAGCCAGGTTCTGTTGGAGGTTTCTTCCTGTTACAGTTTTTTCGATTGCTAAAACACGTTTCTTTCAAAACTGCACACACAAAACCCCAAACATAACACACAAATTGCTAAACCGTGGCTTCCCTTTGCAACAAAACCCTGCCATCACATATCGTAACATGTTCCCAAAATGGAACACATGTTTTCATTTGGTAAACACAGCCACATTTTCACATGACACACATATACCATTCATTGCTTAAACACAAGTAGCCTTCGGGTGAACACTACCAAGCATGGAAAGAACACTGAAGAGCAAAACTGAAAACACAAGTGTCTAAATGGAACACAATGAATTATACACTGAATGTATGACAGTGCCCACTTTTCTCTGAGACAAACATTAAACATCACACAGATTTTGAGACAAAACATTTTATTTTTACAGTCCCCCCCCCCCCCCCCCCCCGATTTCGAGACAAAACATTTTATTTTTACAGTCCCCCCCCCCCCCCCCCCCCAGATTTTGAGACAAAACATTTTATTTTTACAGTCCCCCCCCGCCACCCCCCCCAGATTTCGAGACAAAACATTTTCTTTTTACAGTCCCCCCCCCCCCCCCCCCCAGATTTCGAGACAAAACATTTTATTTTTACAGTTCCCCCCCCCCCAGATTTCGAGACAAAACATTTTATTTTTACAGTTACCCCTCCTCACCCCCCCCCCCCCCCCACCACCACCCCCACCCCCCACCCCCTCACCCCCGGCCACCCCACCCCACAAATTTTGAGACAAAACATTTTATTTTTACAGTTACATTAACCACCTCCACCCCCTCTCCCATTCAAGCATAATCATGGGGCATCATGCCTCTGGTCTCTGTCTGGCCAGAGGGCCTCATCAACATCACAGGCGATGTCCTCCTGGTCCAAAAGCGCTGGAAGTACCACCTTGAATGCCTCATGAAGCCCTGACAGGCCTCAAAGGCCACATCTCTACCAGCCTCCTCCATGGCTTGAAGCAGTGGGACCCGGCTCTGTGGATTCCTTTCGTACACCTTCCACCTCCAGGCTGAGAAAAACTCCTCAATGGGATTGAGGAAGGGGGAATAAGGTGGAAGGTATAAAATGGAAAACCGTGGGTGGTCCTGAAACCACTCATACACCTGGGTAGCCTTGCGGAAACTTACTTTTATGCTGCAGTCCCTGATTGCAAATTGCTCACCAGACATGAAAGTTTAGAGATTTGAATATTTGTGTGTTGTTGATTGAAGCTTTGAGAGTTTGTTTGACAAGTGTGTGTAAACGTGAAAATTGTGTGCTGTTTTGACAGCATGGTGATGTGAAATTGACATCAGAGTGTAAAGGAGGACAATCAGAGAGCTAATAAGATAAGGCAATCTTAAGTAGTGATAAATGGAGTCAGGTGATTGGGAACTGAAGTAGAGGTTGTGAAATTCGTGCCTCATTTTTGCTTTTTGAGTTTTAGCAATCGAAAAAAACTGTAAAAGGGAGTTTTCCTCTCCACTGTCGCTACATGCTTGCTTAGTATGAGGATTCCTGTAAAGTCAATGACACTACATTCAGTGATTCAATGCAATCAGCTGGGTTTCTTTATAGAAAACTTTAAATAATTGGAATAATGAACTGGACTCAATTTGTAATGTTTACTTTATCAACCTTGAGATGACTCTTGTTGTGATTTGGCGCTATACAAATAAACTTAATGGAATAATCCAGATTTATTATTCTGTTTTTCAAATTTTGAAATAAATCAATTAATTTATCAATTGTTTTAAACAGATAAAAAAAAAGTCTATTTTTTACCCTTCACTGACCCCAGCAACAAAAAAGGTGTTTTCGCAGCTTTTAAATTATTTGGGGCAATAAAGTCTGTAAAATATAGCAAATAATAATATAAATAAAAGAACATTGTTATTACCATTACATGATTGTATGGATTAATCCATAACATATTCAAACAATCCATTTATTTTCGGCCGATTATAAGAGGGGTCGGGTACCCATCAGCTGCCTCTGGAGGTCCACAGGTCAAAAAGATCCGATAGGACTCTTTCTTCCGTTTGACGGCCTCCCTAACCGCCGGTGTGCACCAGGGGGTTCGGGGATTGCCACCATGACAGGCATCAATGGTAAATGGTAAATGGCCTGTATTTGTATAGCACCTTCTTAGGGTTCTACAACTCCCCAAGGCCCTTCACAACACAATCAGTCATTCAGCTATTCAGAGAAGGGGTCCAGTGACTTGCGTCTGGGCAAGGGAACACGGTTTGTATAAGGGGTAGGCTGCACTTTGTCTGATCCCTCACCTAGGACCTGTGTACCATGGGTGTCCTTACCAGAGGCATAAAGTCTCAGACAACTTAGCTCCTATAGGACCATTGGATCACAGTAGGGTGGCAGCCCAGGGAGGGGCAAACAACCCGATACAAAGTTTTTTTTATTAAGTACCTTTTTTCAGTTTCGGTAAACATTTACATTTTTTTTACAAAAAATTCTGAATAAAATGCAATGAGACAAAATCAAACAAATGAACAAATAATTTCAAGATTTAACAAGAGGAGTGACACCCCCCCCCCCCCCCCCCCCAAATACAAGACTAAAAAGTTTTCATCACCTTTTCAACAGCAGCAGGACAGAATTGGCCGTGCTAGCATCCAGGCCTGTGGTTGGCTCATCTAGGAACAGGACAGCGGGATCGATAATCAACTCCATTCCAATATTAGTTCTTTTCCTTTCTCCCCCTGAGACTCCTCGGCTCATCTGTGTGCCCACCTGTTTAGGAAGTGGGATTCACAGATCAGTCATCTCATTCTGATCCTCATCTTGGGCAGGTGAGGAGTTAAAAATACAGGTGAGAGAATAACGTGATTATGCACCTTGGAGTCAGCCACTTTGGTGAGGCCCAGTTCTTTAAGCAGGTGATTGACTCGAGCCTCCTTCTCCTTCTGAGGCACGGAGCTGGGGAGCCGGAGCGCTGCAGAAAAACTAAGATTCTGCCTCACAGTCAGAGTTCCCATAACCACATCATCCTAGGAAGGAGACGAGAGAGTGAAAGACAGGAAACTAAATGTTCACTAGAAACTACAGAGGCTTCAGCTTTTACATTATATTAAAGTCTTATATGTGACAAAACTGTTTTTAATGTATTAGCTTTCACAAATTTCCTCAAAAAAAAATCGACACCAATTATACACATTCTTGCACGTTAGCAGGAACCCTTTAGGTTTTCCAGGAAAGATATTGAGTCAGGAATCACTCACCTGTACCACATATCCAGAGAGGCACTTAAAGTTAGGAGGCTGTGGAGCTCCATCAATCAGAACTTTCCCCGACAGACCCGCCGGATCCTTCCTAGCAGCCAGAATATCCAAAAATCTTAGGAAAAAGGCAGAAAGGTGATATCATAATATATTTTTGTAATTTTTTATATTATAATGCAGTTTAATTGTAAAGGTCAAAACAATATTAAAGATAATTATGTTTAACTTTTGATTAAAACTTTTTTAGGTAATTTCAGCAGATGCTTCAGTAAGATGACAGGGTTTTAATGTGTACCTTACCAGTTGTGGGGTTACAGCAGGTCCGCATGTTTATGTGCATGAGATATTTGTAATACATTTGAAGATTAAAGGGAAGCACTTACGAAGATTTTCCACTCCCAGTTGGTCCAAGAACAGCGTTCAGACCAGGTCTCATAATGCCACTGTCTCGTACACACACACACACACACACACACACACACACACACACACACACACACACACACACACACACACACACACACACACACACTGAACAGCTTTACAAATTTTTCAATTAAAATTTATGCAAAAAATTTGACTTGTAAAATAATTTATTAGATTCTAAGACATACGCTGGAAAGTCAGAATTTGTTCAGTGCATAATTTGACGGATTCTTTAGTCCAAAGTAACAAGTTACACTGTTAGACTTTGCTGGCATTTGCTAGTATATTACTGTAAAATCAACAGTAAAATACCTCTAAAAGTGTTTGCAGTGTAGTACTGTAATTTCCATGCACTGTTAGACTGTGCTGTCATTCCTATAGTATATTACTGTAAAATCAACAGTAAAATACAGCTAAAATCTTTGCAGTGTAGTACTGTATTTGGCATGTAATGGTGAGTAAATTCAACAACATCACATATTTTTCATGGTATGTCACTGTTTTAAAGAAAACAGGTAAAGTACAGCAAATATAAAAATTTGGTATACCTCTGACATTTTTCTGTCTGTGGTTTTTCAGTGGACATTTTAAAATACCTTGCTCAAATCTTCATTCAGAGTGCATTACCAAAACAATTCTTTGTGAGATCACCAAAGAAAAAACACTATGCCCCATAGTAAAGAGAAAATGCTCCAAGAATAAATGTTTTAATTGAGCTATTATAAAAGCATACAGTATGTAAACACTCACTAAAATCTGTTTAAAAATATTTTAATTATAATATAAAAAAAGATTGGATGCTTTAACCAAGCCTACATTGTAAATAAAAAAATCATCTCAGATTGATAAAATCATATTTAAGCTATACTATTAGTCCTACTGCCTAAATGACAGTAATTGACATCTGCCTGGTGGGCGATTTAAACTGATAAATGTTTACAGAATTTTATCAAAAAACTGACATGATACCAGTTTACGACTTTATACTTGTAAGAAATTTTATTTAAAATATTCCATAAAATATTGATCATTTCAAAATTCCATCAGTTGTTTTTTTGCATGTTTTCATAGCAATATTATAGGATAATTACAGCCACCAAAATTATGCTGTTGTCTATCTATTCTGTTCACTATAGATGTAACAAAAAATTCAGACAGCTATAGATGGAATCTTAAGGAAATGGGCCAGGGACGAACTCATCAAAGGTATTTTCCACCCCTAGGTATGTTTTATGTTGTTGGGTTTCCCAGAATTAGATAAGTGAAAAAGAATTCATCACTTTCACCTGATACAACCTGGATATTTGCTTTCAAAACAACAACATTGGAAACACAATATATGATCGTTGTCTTGCACTTTGAGGAAAAGAAGAAATAAAAACATTTTCCAAACACGTATCCCGAATGTGACCCATTACAGGGGAGTTGGTCAGTCTGGTAAGTATTTTACTGCATGTTTTGGCTTTTAAACTAGCTATAGCTGTGATCTTCATGCAAATTCTGCAAAATGGTCCCTGTCCATATATGTGTAAACACATTATTGAAGTTACCCGAATGTTTTAAAAACTGACAAACAAGGTGATTAATTTTCAGCTGCTACCCATGCAAAGTAATGTGATGCTTAAAACCAAATTTGTTAGGATCTACAAACAATGCATAATCTATTTTTTCAATTGTCAGCATGTGCTTGTATTTTGGACTGATAGCCAAAGCTAGATTTAACTTAAAACATATAATATTTAATGATGTTCTTTACCTCATGGACAATCCAGATTCTAAAATATCTGATGTTTTCTTTTTGTAAATATTCTATGTAAATAATTTATTTATTCATGTAATTGAAAACTCCTCCTTGAACCGTCACCTTATCGTGGTGGAGGAGTTTGAGTGCCCTAATGATCCTAGGAGCTATGTTGTCTGGGGCACTTAGTGCCCCTGGTAGGGTCTCCCATGACAAATTGGTCTTAGGTGAAGGGTGAGACAAAGAACGGTTCGAAGGATCTTTCATGGCGGTTAAAATGAAGAGTCGGAGTACCCGGCCCGGAGGGTTACCGGGGTCCCACCCTGGAGCCAGGCCTGGGGTTGGGGCCCGTGAGCGAGCGCCTGGTGGCCGGGCTTTCGCCCATGGGGCCCGGCCGGGCCCAGCCCGAACCGGATACATGGGCTCGTCCAACTGTGGACCCACCACCCGCAGGAGGAACATGAAGGGTCCGGTGCAATGCGAATCGGGTGGCAGACCAAGGCGGGAGCCTTGGCGGTCCAATCCCCGGACAAGAAAACTAGTTTTTGGGACATGGAACGTCACCTCGCTGGCGGGGAAGGAGCCGGAGCTTGTGGCAGAGGTTGAGCGGTACCGGCTAGATATAGTCGGACTCACCTCGACACATTGCATTGGCTCTGGAACCCGAGACCTGGAGAGGGGTTGGACACTCTACTTTGCTGGAGTTGCTCCGGGTGAGAGGCGGAGGGCTGGGGTTGGCTTTTTGTTAGCTCCGAGACTCTCTGCCTGTGTGTTGGGGTTTACCCCGGGGGACAAGAGGGTAGCTTCCTTGCGCCTTCGGGTCGGGGAACGGGTCCTGACTGTTGTTTGTGCTTATGGGCCAAATATCAGTTCAGAGTACCCACCCTTTTTGGAGTCCCTGGGACGAGTGCTAGATAGTGCTCCATCAGGGGACTCCATTGTCCTGCTGGGGGACTTCAATGCTCACGTGGGCAATGACAGCTTGACCTGGAGGGGTGTGATTGGGAGGAACGGCCCACCTAATCTGAACTCGAGCGGTGTTTTGTTATTGGACTTCTGTGCAAGCCGCAGTTTGGCCATAACGAACACCATGTTCGAACATAAGGATGCCCACCGGTACACTTGGTACCAGGGCAGCCTAGGTCACAGGTCGATGATAGATTTTGTAGTCGTATCATCTGACCTGCGGCCGTATGTTTTGGACACCCGAGTGAAGAGAGGGGCGGAGCTGTCAACTGATCACCACCTGGTGGTGAGTTGGATCAGATGGCAAGGGAACATGCCGCGTAGACCTGGCAGACCCAAACGCATAGTGAGGGTCTGCTGGGAACGCCTGGCAGAAGAACCTGTCAAGACGGTCTTCAACTCCCACCTCCGGCAGAGCTTTGACCACGTCCCGAGAGCAGTGGGGGACATTGAGTCCGAGTGGGCCTTGTTCCACTCTGCGATTGTCGAGGCGGCTGTTGCTAGCTGTGGCCGTAAGGTGGCCGGTGCCAGTCGTGGTGGCAACCCCCGTACCCGCTGGTGGACACCAGAGGTTCAGGGAGCCGTCAGGCTGAAGAAGGAGGCCTACAGGGCGTGGCTGGTCTGTGGGTCTCCGGAGGCAGCAGACAGGTACCGGATAGCCAAGCGGGGTGCAGCAGTGGCAGTTGCCGAGGCAAAATCTCGGGCGTGGGAGGAGTTTGGTGAGGCCATGGAGAAAGACTATCGATCGGCTCCAAAGAGGTTCTGGCAAACTGTCCGGCGCCTCAGGAGAGGAAGGCAGCAACTCGCTCACACTGTTTACAGTGGGGATGGGGAGCTGCTGACGTCAACTGAGGCTATAGTCGGACGGTGGAAGGAATACTTTGCGGAGCTCCTCAATCCCACCAATGCGCATTCCGAGGAGGAACCAGAGCTGGGAGGCCTGGGGATGGACTGTCCGATCTCGGGGGCAGAAGTTGCTGAGGTAGTCAAACAACTACACAGCGGCGGAGCCCCGGGGGCGGATGAGGTTCGTCCTGGGTATCTCAAGGCTATGGATGTTGTAGGGCTGTCATGGTTGACACGTCTCTACAACATTGCATGGTCATCGGGGGCAGTTCCTAGGGAGTGGCAGACCGGGGTGGTGGTCCCCATCTTTAAGAAGGGTGACCTGAGGGTGTGTTCCAACTATAGGGGGATCACACTCCTCAGCCTCCCTGGAAAGGTCTACTCCAAGGTACTGGAGAGGAGGGTCCGATCGATAGTTGAATCTCAGATAGAGGAGGAGCAATGTGGTTTTCGTCCTGGCCGTGGAACTGTGGACCAGCTCTATACCCTTGCAAGGGTGATGGAGGGGGCATGGGAGTTTGCCCAACCAATCCACATGTGTTTTGTGGATTTGGAGAAGGCTTATGACCGTGTCCCCAGGGGCACCCTGTGGGGGACACTCCAGGAGTATGGGGTGGGTGGCTTTCTGTTAAGGGCCATTCAGTCCCTTTACCAGAGGAGCGTGAGTTTGGTCCGCATAGCCGGTAGTAAGTCGGACCTGTTCCCAGTGAGGGTTGGACTCCGCCAGGGCTGCCCTTTGTCACCGGTTCTGTTCATCACTTTTATGGACAGAATTTCTAGACGCAGCCGTGGTGTGGAGTGTGTCGAGTTTGGTGGCAGGAGAATCTCGTCTCTGCTTTTTGCGGATGATGTGGTCCTCCTAGCTTCATCCAGCTCTGACCTTCAGCTCTTGCTGGGTAGGTTCGCGGCCGAATGTGAAGCGGCTGGGATGAGGATCAGCACCTCCAAATCTGAGACCATGGTTCTCGACTGGAAAAGGGTGGCTTGCCACCTCCGGGTCGGGGGAGAGGTCCTACCTCAAGTGGAGGAGTTTAAGTATCTCGGGGTCTTGTTCACGAGTGAGGGTAGGAGGGATCGGGAGATCGACAGGCGGATTGGTTCGGCGTCTGCAGTGATGCGGACGCTGAGCCGATCTGTCGTGGGGAAGAGGGAGCTGAGCCAGAAAGCCAGGCTCTCGATTTACCGGTCGATCTACGTCCCAATCCTCACCTATGGTCATGAGCTTTGGGTAATGACCGAAAGAACGAGATCGCGGATACAAGCGGCCGAAATGAGTTTCCTCCGTAGGGTGGCCGGGCTCAGCCTTAGAGATAGGGTGAGGAGCTCGGACATTCGGGAGGGACTCGGAGTAGAACCGCTGCTCCTCCGGATCGAAAGGAGCCAGTTGAGGTGGTTTGGGCATCTGGTCAGGATGCCTCCTGGACGCCTCCCCGGGGAGGTGTTTCGGGCATGTCCTGCCGGCAG